TACTTGACATACAATCATCATGTTATTACACACAGTCATCCGATGATTCATATTATGATCCACACACACGACGATCCCAAGAAGCTGTTGCGATGTGCAACTCCCCTGCCAGCTTCATTGACATGCCAAAAAGGAGGAAGCTGCTTTGTGGCGATTCGAAGAGCCGCTCTTATCGCATGCTGCATCACATAGTCACATCAACAGCATTGACAATAAATTGTTTAGACTTGAATTGAGTCCAGTGTTTACACTGATTGTTAGTATGGTGTATCATGGAAATAGCAAGCGCTTCAAACGGACTAAATTTGAGTCTGTCATCGCGGCTTTTGATTCATTTTGTCGCCGCAATGCTTGCCATGTTTCCCAATGATCTGTGACATCGCATCCGTGGGGCACATCCACTGTTTGACTGAATCGACAGGGTTTGCCTACATTAGAATTAGCATCTGTGTTATATATTCCTGAGACCGACCCACCTTAACATAATTGAGATAGATGAACCCATCGAACCTTCTAATTCATTGACTGGACAGGTTTGTTGAACAATCTTTATAAATAATTCGTTTGATTTCATTTGATTTAATGCCGCACTCAATATGGCGCATTGCTGCGGGAAGATGCTGAACTCGCTCACGCTTTACGCCAAATACATTAACACCATATTGTTTTATTTTAGAAAAGACTTTAACATCCTGCATACATTCCACGAATGCAATATAAGGCGGCAATTTACAGCCATGTATGCCAGTGAAGTTAGCATCAAAACGCGATCAAAATAAAATGCTTCTCCAATATTTAGGGAAAATTGACGCAAGAATCAAGCCATATAATTTATTTGATAAAATGGCCGCACTTACAGTATCTAACACAGCTGACGCACGTTATCCAGCAAATTGATGGCCAGCGCTAGCTCTTCAGCAATTACTAATATGTCCTCATTCGTTTTTTTATCCATCCAGCCTTTATGTAGTCTGTGTAAGAGCAGACCGAATCATGTGAGTAGGCATCACTTTGCTTCCACGCTGGCATTGAAAACCGCACCGAGATTCGTTCCATACACAAAATTTAAAAATCGGCTAACATGCAAGGCTTCTGCCACCAAAAAACCGCGGAAAAAAGCCGCTTCCAACGCGCAAAACTCACGTATACTCATTCAATCGCTACTGCACGGCTTGGCCCCATTTTGTAAGATAAATACACGGCAAAACACAATTTAGCACGATTTTACACGATTTTACACGATTTTGCACGATTTTCAATCATGTTACACGGTACACGGCTTTCGAAATCATGTGTTTTAGCCTCTGTTTTTACTAGTGACATTCCCCGCAGGACCCGGGACTGCAGGTACACTCCCCCGCACGCCACCCCATTCCGATATCGATCGCGCGGCCGATGAAGTTGAGTCCATGTGGTCAGGAAAGAGCGCCAAGACGGAGCCGCCCCCCCTGGAGTTCAGAACGGACATTCCCAATGCCAAGTTGTGGAGGCGGTTTCTTTTCGAAAGGCAGGAGCGCGGTGGCAGGACCCGAGGGGCGTCGCCGTCGGGACTCCTGTTTGGCAACTGGATGAGGCCGGGTGCAGAGGGGACAAGGCCGCCAGCTGCAGAAGAGGGCATGGGCATTAGGGGCAGCAGGGTGCGTGCGGGTCGGGGCCCGGCTAGGGGATGGTGCCTCTGATGACTTTTGTGAGTTCATTTTCCCAGGCGAGAGACGCATCATCGTTGATGATCGGATTTGTTTGCCACAACGCGCTTCCAAGCATCGCCAGGCTCAGGACCTTAGTTGCTTTTAATGGAGGCAGACTGGAGGATATTCATGTCAGGCGTGTATCATAAATCATCCGGGGCATGTCGTGACTGTTTTGTTGCCGTTAGTGACATGGAGCGTCTTTATTAGAGCATGGAAAACTTTCATGAACACTGTAAAGTTTTCCGCCTAATGCCGGCCATTTTCAGCTCCAACGGGGTGCCTTTCCTAAAAGCCGTTTCATTGACAAGCATAAATGCCGCCTTGAAGATGAAATGCTCCAAACCACTGCAAACGACACGAAGGATAACACGTGATTTTATGCGGCGAGTTTTCAGCGGGTGATCGCATGCGTTTTGGGTAGGCTTGGGAAATCCGATGCGGATCAAATAATAATACGGGAAAATACGTGTATTATCACGTAGTTTGATTTTGGGCCTAAGCATACGCCTAAAAATGCGGCAAACTTTTGAAATTGCAACTTCAATGACACGCAGCTTCAATGAGTCAGCATCTATGTCCGAACTATCCATGAAATCCATCCATCGCTCACAAAGGTCGCACCATTAACGGCAATATTGCTTATGGCCTTGCCCATCATCACGACATTGTTGTCCTTGATCATGTGTACGTCGAAGTCCTTCTCAAGAAGATGGCTACCCAGATGCTTGCGCGCTGGCGCAGCATGTCCACGGCCAACATATTCACGCTGCTTTGGCCCCCGCTTTGATCATGAATTAGGGATTCCCCACAACATTCTACACATTGTTGGCATTACAAAATGGGCCTACCCACGCAGCAATCAGAGGGACCTTGTTTCGGCGTTCAAACATTGTTGGGCGATCCCTCTGCCGTGCATGCCTCAAGAGCTGCAGCCCCCTCATCGGCATTCACTGATTGATCCCATGCACTACCACGGATTCGCTTGGCAGACTGTTTGATGTGCCGGCCCCCTTTGCGATGTGGTTGCGCCGATTTGTTTCAAGACACTCCTCTGGAAAGTGTGCCATTCCCTCACTAACAGCATCCGGCACGTTCGCACAGCACGCCACAAACCCGGATGCAGTGATGTGTAGCCAGATGGCAACACCAGCGCTCATTGCCACCCGTCACAATGCCGCAGTACACGCATGTGCCAAGCTGGGCTGTGACATCAGCGAAGTAACTTGTGGCGTTAATGCCAAGCGCCCAACTTTGGGGACTTTTGGAATCGCCATTCGGGCCTCGCCGCATTCACAACACGCCCTGCTCCCTCATGACTATAGGTCGCAGGTCCGTGGGACACAAGTCGCAGTTCTCGTCCGTTAATTGGGTAAATTACTTCGCATTTAGTATGATTGTTGTAAAATACATCTAAAATACGCGCATTTTTCAATTCTTGCCAAAATACTTGTATTCTTGCGTATTTTATTAAGAGCCAGCCGTAATTTCCAAGCCTGGTTTTGGGAGCCAGCTGTGTCCCTCTTCCACGGCTCTGATCACTGCCTCATGAGGCGCATGAGGCTTCTGGGGAAGCAGTAGCAATGGTGCTGATCGCCAAATGTTACCAAATGCTGCATGCGCAAGATGGGGGAAACACTGATGAGAGTCGCCACGGCAGTGTGCACCACAACACGCGAGCAGCGTCCAGCTCCTAGTAGTTAGAGATCCATAACCAATCAAAAGAGGTTCAATCATCCCCTGTGAGGCTATCGGAGTGGCAGCCACGAGTGTCAACTCATGGGCAAAACGTTTGGCGAACGCACAGCTCCAGTGCTCGATGGGACGTAGGCAAAGGTGCCTACTGAAAGCTGGTTGCAGGGGCGCGCTCGAGTGCGGCCTCCCAACGGCGCGCGCCAAGGTGACGCCGCGTGCTGATGGCGAGAAAGCGCAGAGTGGCCGGTACAGCCCGGCTAAGCAACAGCTGGAAGCGCCACTGAAAAATCTTGGTGAATGGACTTGATTGCGTGGCTTAAGAAATAGGGAGGCTGCGGCGGTGGTCATGGGGAAGCATGTCACTATCGCTGGCAGATAGGAACCCACGTGTTGTCGACGTTGCTTCCCACAAAGTACCCCAGCGCGCTGCCGTTTCCAGTGGAGCAGGCCCGTACTTCCGTCCAAAGAACAGTAGGCGCAGCGGATTCTGCTGTCAGAATTGCAGATCGCCGACGTTTTTGGACCAAGGAACACGATGTGTGCCGCTGAATCTAGGGATCAAACATCGTTTTGTCCCACAACTGTGCTCAAGTGCAAAAGAACGTGCATTTTGCAGTGGCACAGCTGTGCAGTGCAGCACACTATCAGCGGAAGGCTATTGATAACAGCAATGCAAAGTTTGTGACACAGAGCTGTCTGGAACAGGAAATGTGCAGGCACACTTGAAACCATCCACGGATGGAAGCTACTACACATGCAACATTCTCAAGTTATGTGCTAGATCCAAGCACCAGCGAAACATAGGCACCGAAATGGGACTACAACCCTGAAATTTGTGCAATGCGGCCGGCATCGGGTCGCGAACTTCCCTTGGATCATGTCAAGAAAGCAGTTGGGGCAGGGACAGTGGCTGGAGAAACATACGATGCATATCCTGTTTTGTTTGCTCACACATGGTTTTGGCCACCTTGCTTGGCTTCATAAGGCAATGTCAACACCTCCAAGGAACCACTGCAGCAAAAGTGAACAAACCGGGTGTCTCGCTGTATACTTATTTTCACAGGTCAGTCGTTTCCCATGCCCACCTTGGTGTCCATTTGATCGCATCTTCTGATGACGCATCATCAATAAGAACGAAATAACATGAACTGTACCCATCGTTTCCTGGTTGCTGGGTAGTTGCCTACAATATTGGGTGAAGATACCACAGAGTGCCCAACTGTGCACAGCTGGTGCAGTTGAAGCTGGTTCGCAACACCAATGGGCACTCTAGCTGCACCTCTTTGTCCTTTTTGGCATCACAAGGTCAAGGAACGTGGCAAAGAACGGGCATGGTTGTTAGGCCATGGCTTGCTATGCCAGTGCACCAGGGCTCGAACTTGAGTGAAGTTGACAGTTGAAGCAAGTACCTTCCCTTATTGTCATTTCCTAGCTCGCACGCCACAACGTTTGCAGTGTCAGCCGTCCGATAGTACTGCATGCTCTCCTTTTGCTCCAGCAGTGGTTGATCTCTGAGCTGTTGCCCTCTGCGGATCAGAATGCTCGTGGACATGGAAAGAATGCCCAACCTGTGGGCTCACCCTGTTTTCAGTACCTTTGGCCTGCTGTTTGTCAGGAATGTCTGGATCGGATGTCGTTATCCGCTTTGGCCATCCACCAGCCGCCTTCTTCATTTCTATTCTGACATATGGTGCCATCACCGTTGCCTCCACGTTGACATTGCGATTGTGGGGCGACCCGCAAGGGGGCTCAACCCCTCGACCCCAAGATACCCCGCTCAGGTGCGACACATTGTTCCTCCTTGCGCACACCGAAATTTCCACGTCTTTTCTACCATCAAAACTTGTTTGTTTTTTTCGTTGCGTCTTTCTTGCAATCCAAGCTGTCTTCAATGCCTTTTAGCTTGGGAAGCTTTCTGAAACACAGTGCTGCCGCGTCCATTTAGTTTCGTTTTCAAGCATGCAAGTTTTTCAAGTACGCTCATGCAAATGAAGGCTGCCACACGTTTCACCGCTTTTGACCCTGGCGCAAAGTCTCAAGCGCTGGCGCCCGCGACGGGCCCCTTCCGCCGCGTCTGCTCTCTCCGTGATCTGCTGTCAACGCCCCACAGAGCGTCGATCTCCCTGGCGTCCCTGGTGCACGCCTGCGTCATGACGGTCGTCGGCACGGTCGTCACCTTCGGCGAGGACTGGTCGACGAAGCACATCGTGTACGGGCAATCACCGCTCGTGCCGTTCTTCGTGGCGTGGGAGGTGGGCTACCTGCTGGAAGATCTCGCGGCGATGGCCTACTCCAAAATGGCACACGACCGCTGGGCCGGGTGGAGCCTCGCCCTGCACCACGCCTTTCTCATCACGGGCCTGCCCTACTACTTTGGGCGGCGCGTCCAGGGGGATTACATCTGGGGGTCGCTGTTCTTCATGAACGCCAGCTCCGTCTGCTGGCACTTGCGCTATTTCATCGCCAGGGGCGGGTGGGAGGGATCGCGCCTGCACGCGGCAGTGTCCATGGCCTTCCCCTTGACGTTCTTGGTGTGCAGGTTCCTGTTCATGCCGTTCGCTTTCTGGCAGTACGGCAGGTTGGAGGGGCTGGCGTGGCACGACGTGCCACTGCACATCCCGCCGAAGTGCCTGCTGGGGCTGGGCTCCATATCCGTCTTCAACGTGTACTGGTTGGTGAAAATGGGTCGAAACGTGGCCGCCACACTGGGAAAGGCCAAAACCAAGAGGAGCTGATTCCAAGGCTTTGTTTTGTAACGCTACTGTCAGCATGTCTTGATAGATTGGTGGCTTGCTGGCTGCGCTGCGATGTAAGCTTGGACGGCCGAATTGCATATGCGTGTGGAAAGAGCACTCAATCAATAGCGCCGTAGTGACAGCTGGGACGCTGAGCTCAAAGCTTGCAGCCCTTGGCGTACTGCCTTGGATTTTACCAGTCCAAGGTAAACTGTTACAGTGTCATGCATGTACTGCAGGCATCAATGGTGTGCTCCCAATATGCTCAAAGAAACCGATGGTGGATGTGCATGGCGGCATCGCAAAAACAGTCTGGCATAGGAATTCATCCCTGTGAGGGAGGTTGGCAGAACATGCTGGCAAAGGAAACAGCGTCCTAAAACACGTCAACTCACAGCAGTCGTCCAAACCGTTGGCATTTCAAGGATTTCACTTGGACACATACCTACACAACACGATGAAAGATGCGTGTTGCTGTCTTGCAAGGGGAAGTGTTCGATTACAGCTCAATCTATTCAATTTAGTGGCCACCACTGTAATCGAATAAAAAGGTGGTAGGAAAGAGTACGGACATATTCGGCCAGTTTTCCCTTGAAACGTACAAAGATGGCTAATGTTGATAGTCTTGTTACTGCTCTGTACTCAAAGAAACAAACGTGCGCACAGTCAGCTACCTTTAGTACGTTTGACTCAAAGCGGTCTAGGTTTAGATATTCCCTATCATGTGAATCTGCGTTTGTGATCATCAAAAACGACCCAATCTTTAGATTTTGGGTCATTTTAAAACCAGTCGATGGGCAGCACGGTCAGCTGCGGCTGCGCTGTCATTTTTCCAAGGAAAACGGCAGTAACTAGTATGGTTGAACCCCTAGGTTGACGGGATGCAATACAGTTTTGAGTCGCACATTTCCAGTACACAGAATTGAGGCTATAGGTACATCAGACGGAAAGAAAGGGGCCGTAGTGTGTACAGGCCCGATGGAAAGCACCCTTGGAAAAAGGCTGGTCTGTTCGTAGGGAACTCTTGGGTGACTTTCGCAGAGAAAGAAGGCCAAATTCTGGCCCCTTTTGAGGAGGCCATGGACCGTAGGGGTTGTCCTTCAATGGACCTGAACTCTTGCAAAAAGTCCTAGGACTTTGACAGGACAAGTACTGGAAGGGTGTAAGGACCCAATGGAGCATGATGGGGCGTTGTATACGGGTGCTGACAATACTCTATTGCTTAGCGGCTGTATGGGAAACTGCCCTTTGGTAATTTTTGTATTGTACTGCGTCGTACACGTTCGTCACATCCCCGCATCCTGCGCCCCCAAGGCCTCCGCGCCCAGCGACCTGCGACTGGTCCGAACGGAGCGACGCTGCCGTTTCACCGCGGAAAGCACTGAAAGATGGGCTGATGGCGCGGGTCAAGAGGAGCAGGCTGCCAGATTGGGTCCCGGCGCGTCGCGACGCGGACGGGGAGTTTGGCGAGGGGGCGATGGCAGGGCCCAGCCACATCCCCACTCGATGGATGGCGCCCATCCCGCGACAAGGCGAGGTGCATCCAGACCTGGCCGCCCGAGGAATGCGCGAGCTGGGCGCGCCCCTCGTCCTGAGTGAGGCAGCCTTTCTCGTCAAGCAGGGCTGCGAGGCAAGGGCCGGTGGCGCTTTGGCATGGGCCGCCATCCGCGGCTCAGGCCTCCCCAACCGATGGATCTTTGGGGCCGTGGACTCGACCGCGGCTTGGCGAGCGGCGGACGAGGGGGAGGGACCGTTCGCGTTCACTCTACGCTGTGGGGACGGAAACGAGGCGGAGTGTTGGCAGCTGTCCAGTGGCGTCTTTGCCGCCTGCGATTTGACTATCGAGTGGATTGGAAGGAAGTTTCTGGTGAACGACCAGTGCGCGACGATGGCAAAGCTGCGTGGAGTCTTTTGAAGTACTGGCGGTTTACTGAACGAAGTTTCAGGAGCTGTGAAAGGCGGCGAAGGGAGTCGCCTCGTTGACCGGTGATGAATTACCGCTGCTAGGCAGAGCATTAAGCAGCTGAGAGAAGTTCAGCTCTGGGGTTGCGCCTCGCTTCGGCAGCGCTCGACAACACCCCAATTGTACTGTTGGGCTTGAATTTACTTGCTGTGGTGATTCTCGTTGTCCTGTGAGTGTTTATGAGCTAAGTTGGTAAAAGTGTAGGAGCGGAATGCTCAGAAATTCTGGGCGATTGACAGGGCTGTGATAGTGGCTGTGCCTTTAATGACTCTCATTGAGCGTCTATGGCTGATCGTTGAGTCATATTGCTGTTCCTAAGTGTAGGCATCCTCCTGTCGGTCCTAGTCAGCTGTTTGTAACATCATGGCACTCGAACAGAAGTAAGACTAACGCACACCCATGCCAAGAGAAATTCCCTTCGACTGGGAAGCAAATGCCGCATGCAGCTGCTTTGCCTTGGTTGCTTGCCTGGCTTGCCCTGGTTTATCTGCACTTCTCAATGGCAGCCGTTTGTCGGCACGCCCCCCAACCCAACCCAACTCAAACCCTTCCCAGGGATTCGGCAACCTCCACAGTCATCCAGGTTAGGGAAGGCGCTATGTCGATTTTGTTACGCTCAGTGTCAATTTGACGTTGAGCTCAGACCCCCTCCTTCCCCCTTGCCTAGGAGGGGGTGCCCTTTGTATGAACTGTTTCTTTGTAACAAACTACACCCCCTTGAAGCCTCTGTGTCATCTTTTACTAGCATGGAAAAGAGCCTTACTTGCAGGGGGTCCTTGGTATGACCTGTTTCTCTCTTTTGTAACAAACACACATGCACGCACGCACGCACAGCGTCAATCCTTATGTCGAAGCCAAGATGACTCAGCAACAGTACCTAACCGTGGAATGCAGTTTATAGCTGGTTTTGAGAAGGACAACGCTCAGAGTCGTACAAATTTTGGTGAGCTGCAATGTGGGATTGTAAATGTCATTGTAGGCAAGGCGGGCAGCCTCAATGGCTATAAATTGACACATTCTAAGGACTTCCTTGACGACTGTATATTTCAGAGGCTTAGGAACAAATCATGAGTGTTTTGCTGCTGATCAGCAGCGTTTTCAGTCATCTTTCCAGCCTATGTCGATTCCGTTGCAATTATATAATCTCAGCGTCACAGTTCTGCGCCCCCCCCCTAGCGTCAAATTGACGCTCAGCATAACAAAATCGACATTGTGTCTTCCCTTAGCAGTACACAACACTCGAGCGTTCTCTTTGAATAGACACATAGCACAGGTCAACACACACAAAACAACTTGTGCGGATGTGGTCGCGGCATGGGGATATTATTGCTTCCCTGACCCCAGCCCCCAGCAACCAGCACTGAGATTATTGCGCGACCAAGAGGCCACCCAAATCACCCACCGCGTGTTTTCCAACGCCAACGCACCGCCTCCTCAGGTGTTTCTTGATACATGATGTCATTCTCACTGGTGTTCCTGCAAAATTCAAAGATTCCAATTTTGCGTTCGCGTGAAACGCAACCACTGCTCCTCAGCCCTCGCTCCAGTTATCCATTCCCCCGACGCCACCCGTCAACTACAAACGCCAATCCAGACGCGCAGCGGACTTTATGCATACAGGGCTAGTCTACTGACCAGCGTTTCGCCACGCCTGCCCCTGCTACAATCCCCCACACCACTGAACATCCTGTGCTCCCTGTCTCAGCTGGCCCCACATACATGAATCTCAACAGCATAGCACAACCCAAACAATCCACGCTCCAACAAGCATCCACACACAACCCTATGCACCACCCACAGATACACAGTGCGACATATGTGTCACATTAGTGCCCCACCCCAGGTACACACCCCACGTGGTCGTTACCCAGCGTCTAAGTCCCCGGCAAGGCGCGGCCAATGCAGAGTGGCCCCAGACAATGGGCCGCACGCACACTGCCAGCCGAGTAGCCAAGGAGAAGTGAATCGTACTCGTAGTCTTTATCGCATGCAGTCCAAAGGCGCGGGGAGTCAGTCGACACTGAATGCCTGACTATGGGGATAGCTAGGGTTTTTCGACAACACGAGGCCCCCGAACGGAGTAAGTCAATTCAACCGAAGACAATTCCATCTTCACTCCAGTGTGAGAGGAAGGCCCCACACACCGAATCATCATGAAAGGATTCTGACTTTTCCCTTCTTCAGTGACGCGAGGGCCCCACTGCTGCCAATTGACTCAACTGAAGACCCTTCTGGCAGCGCTGATGTGGATGTTCGCCGACACGCTAGGTGCAGTGAACCCCGCATGCCAGGTCCCATCCACGATCAACCTGCGCGGGATCAGCATGATATCTCGGAAGCTCACCCCCCGATAGGCCACAGTCATCACAATATCCGAGTCCGCATTTGCAGCAAACTGAACCACGAGCTCGCCAACAAGGATGGAGTGGTGGCGCATGGGCGAAAAGGAGGAGCGGCTCTCTGAAACATGCATCAATACGTCGTCCAGGCCTTCCTGCAGCTTTCTGGCTCCCTCCACCATGAGGTCGACCATATCCCCGTAGTCCAGCTTGAGGCCAGCCGTTTCCACAGCGTACAGCAGGCACAAGGTGAGGGCTCCTGGAAGGAAGAGGGTGCGGTGGTCCTCGTCATCCAGTGGCAACTTCTCACTGTTTTCATCCACCTCGCTGATGGGTGTGAACTGAATGATGGGACTCCTGACACTGCCCTGGCAAAAGCAAAACACCAGCAGCTGTCACTGCAAGAAAGCCCGTGAGCAGATCGCAAGACAGAGTGCAGTAATGATGCTGTGGTGGCCATCCAGGAAGCTGCTCTTCTTCTTGGACGGCCCCAGCATGAAGACATGTGTGTGCATGCCATTCATGGCGATCGATACTCCAGCAAAATGGCTACGGATGCCCAGGCGACCACAATCAAGACAAAAGGGGAAGCACATCACCATAACCATGTTGTGTGCCTCACTGGGGACACCGCTCGGCAGTTGAAACACTGCCTAAGTTCCTTTCACATGTAAAGTGTTGAATCATCCTACAGATGACAGGAATGTGTTGTCAGAATAGCACATAACACACTTGAAGCATGATGCAATTGTGGATACAGATTTCACAATCCATTCCATCTATGGACAGTACCAAAAACACCCCTGGGACAAGTGCCACAAAAGTCACACCGAAATATAATTGCCAAAGACATGTGCAGCACCATGACACAGCTGGTGGTCAGCACATGCAGCGGCATACTGCTAGCAACGAGGGTGCATCCGCCAATGAAGGAGACACATACCAACGTTGGGAGTGCGCCTTGCCCCAAAATCAACCACACGTACTTGTGACTCTCCTTGCCGGCCAGCTAAATCATCAACACCAACTATAAATCTAGGAACCCATGCACTGCCAGATGGAACCAAGTTCCTTGCTTCAGTGCCCCTGAGACGATTATCTTCAAGTGAATCAAAATACGTCGTCCTGAATGAAGGTATCCATACATGCAACATGCAAGATGATGCAATACTGTACTTATGTCTCCACTGAGTTTAGATGATTAGTCAGCAGTTGTTCTCTGAGCAGACTATAAGGGCTTGCAACCTTTGTCAAGGAGAATGGCCCCAACCCAACACCAGCAGAGGATACAAAGTACACTGGCTCCCAGACAACAAACACCCCAGACACAACGTCCAGTCATGGAGTACACAATCGTATTCACAAATTGCTGGAGCCACACAAGTGGTGGCTGTTGCCAAATGACCGATCCCTGCCCACCCACACAACCTTCATAACTTGTGTGATTACCCACCTTCTGCATCCCATTCAGCATCTTAGAAGACAAGTTTTGGAGACCCTTCCATGCTTTCCCCTTCTTGGCATTCGTCCAATGCCATGCGTGGGGAAGTTGCATGAGGTTCCGTGAGTGCGCCCCATCCCCAATAACATGCAGTGTCGCCCCCACAGGGATGTTTTCTATAAGGACTTCCTTGACAGCACTGCACAGGTCTGCCTGTGTAAAATTGGAAGAATCTGCAGAGAACCATACAAGAATTTATAATTGATTCCCTCACTTTCCGATTAACATAATTAGTTCAGCACTGTGCGGGACAGCCTGGGTTCATGCAAATGATACAATGCGCACCAGAGCGCAAACGTGACACTAGTCATTGTCTGACAAAGTTGAGAAGCAAAACAATTAATCAGCGAACACACACATGATTTGGAGTTGATTCATGGCCTGTGCGAATCCAGCAACAGGTCAAAGGGTGGCACAAGCTAACTTCCTTCGAAATCAACATACGAGGCAACATTGGTAGCAAGCGGCACATGCTGTTGTGAATTCTTCCAATCGTGCTCTTCGTGGTAAATGCAAGAGACCACAAGGTCGGTCTTAAGACCAAAATTACCGCTTCTGAGTCTCTTGCATCAAATGGTATTGTCTGAGTGTGCACAAGAGTTGCTGATAGGAGATTTGCTGCTGCTATCAATAAAAGAGGCTAACACACTGGAAAAAGGATGTAATGGAACCCCAATTAGCAGTATAACACGCACAACTTGTATCCAGTGGGCATAGATTAACTCCTTTTTCCAGTAGTGGCATGCCCAGGGAAGAATTGTACAGTGACCCATTCAAGCAATCAAGAGCTGGAAAGATGCAAGTTCAGTGCCACCATCGGATCGGCTGTTATTGAATGGAATCATGCAAGGCGCGGTCCATGGGATCGATGAAAATCTGGCAGACCATTGATCCCACCAACATGGCCACGCACCTGCTAAACAATCACTTGATGAATATCCAAAGCAGCTCTGGGATGGCAGGACAGCACACAGGATGTGATAAGATACAGGATGTGCTACGACTGCCCTGCAAAGATCACTGACCGGGCAGCCGCACGGGTGCACTGCTTTTCTCTTGACCAGCCATTGAAGAATATTAATGATCAATCAATGCTGAATCAGTCCAACACAGCTTAACCAAATGCGCTGGGCTGCGCTGCACACGTGATGCAACATTTTCGACAGTTTGCGAATTCAGAACATTCCAAGTTTTCTTCCAACTTTCGGTTTTCTCAGATTTTTCCTTCCAAAACCTGTACTGCCATGCCAGGCGCTTACTGGAAAAGTAGAACACCAGGTGATCTCCACTCTTGACACCATCGATCAGCCATGCCAGTCCTGACATCAGCATGTTCTTTGTGAGAACCTTCTTTCCGCTCTTTGGATTGTTGGCAACCATTAAGATTTTGTGTTTCAGGAAGCCCAATTTGTGAAGAAGAGCTTCAGCAAGGTGAGCTTCGCAGCCGCTTCCTGCCCACTCCTGAGCATTCACAGTTGCACATGCCAGTCAATTAAGCTGAGCCTGTCCATGCAGATCTGCAGCAGGCTTCCTGTCGATCTCCCTCGTGCTGTCCCAGTTTCTTGGCCCCATCCCCACACAATTGTGACCATTTTTGTGTGGTTGAAGTTCTTGCTTCGTAACAAAAAACAGCACAACCTATTCTGCACTTGTAGGGAGGAGGACTGGGTGTTGGCATTGACAGAGAAAGCTTGCGAACATAAGGACATTGTGTGCAGTCCTGACTTTCCCTTCCTTATGTTCCCAGGATGTTGAGGCAACAATCCCACAACCAGTGAGCCCCATGTACCAATAACCAGTATTTATAGTGCTGAACTTCAGCAGCGACACATTACTCCCCCTCCCCACCTCGCAATGAGCATAAAGTTCAGTGCCCAACATCCCAGTAAAACTAACAGCAGCACCTGGAGCACGGGAAGTCATCGAACTGTAGGGGCTTTCCACAAACAGCATCGGTTCCAACACACAGGCGAGCCTGGATAGGCCTGTTCTGCTTCACCTGAGAGTCGTTCTTGAACTCTGTGCTGGTTGTTATGAATAGTTTCTCCACCATCTTTCACAACATGGGGATGAGCTGCACACCCATCGCATGTATTGGGGTGATTGTAGTGTGACATGCCGGGCGAAAACAAAAGAGAACAAAAAGGGCAACCCTGCTTGACAACAAATTTCTAACCCCTCAATGCAAGGTGGGCTCTCAAAGATGTGATGGTGGTCACGCATAGACTGCAAGCAGGCTTCAGCGTGTCTGCATTCCTCAACACAACGGCTGCAGGCAGTGGAAGCATTGGCTCGGTGGACTGTGTATGGTTGCAACAACCAACCTGCCAGGTATGGTGTGCACGCGGTTCATTCACTGGAATGCCGCTGCCTTGGGGCATCACAGCGCTGCATCGGACGGTGTGAACACACCCCAAGAAAAACGCGAAGTGAAAAAGTGCCTCACCGATCCTGACACGTAGCAGTTGCTTGTCTTGCAGGCTACCAGCAAGGCCTTGCCTTGCAGGATGGGCCCCGGAGAGCCGCTGGCAGTGGAGGCCGCTCCTCCCATGGCGGCAATCCCCCTGTGGTCTTTGCCACAGCACCCGCCGGAATCTCCTCCACGCAGGACTGCCCCGTGGACACCTGAAAAGCACAAAGGACGTCAGCCCTCCCCTTCCAAGGTTTCTGTCATTAGTAAAGTGGCAGGGTGCGTGTTGCCGCGCGCGGGATGGACCCGCGGGCAGAGCTGAGAGAGCCGAAGTCAAGAATCTGAACTCGGGCGCGACGGACGTGAGCAGCAACCGGAGGGAAAGCCTGACGACAAGAAAAGGGGAACAAGAAAAGGGGAGTACGAAAAGAAGAGGGAAGGGCTCCGTAAGAGATCCGGTCCCTGATCCGAGTTCCCGAATTAGAACTGCGGATCTCGGCACCCAGCGGCAGGCGAGCGACATGGCGTGTCCGGCGTTTGCCGCTCGCGCTGGGCAAGTGGGGACCGCCACAGCGGGAGAGGCGACCCCTTACGTCGGAAGGGTGGCCACCGAAACTGTACGCCACCATCTCCGGCCAGCTCCGCGGCCACACTCCCTCACCGAGATCCGCGCCGGACGCGGCGAGAGATTCGGCCGACCGCCCAACGGCCGCCGCGAAGCGGCCCTCGAGCGGGCGGCAGCGAAGCCTCGAGGGTTTTGTCGCGAGCGGGTATCTCGCCCCCGCCGCGGACGCCGACACATCGCCATCCCCGATCCCTCGGCGGCGATGCCATCTAGCCGGGGCGACAGCGCACACCGGCGCGATCAAAACAATGCACCAGTCAGGCAGTCGAGCCGGCGGCCGGGGGTTCGCGTCGAACGCCCTCTAGACCTGTGAGGCGCCCACCTCGCGGGCCGATCGCCGATTGGCTCCCCTCTCCACGAGGCCCACGTCCCCCGCTCCGCCGCGCCGCAGTTAGTTAAGCCGCGAGGGCCAGGCAGGGTAGCTAGGGCCGGGGCCTGCCCGCGTGCGGCGACGCACCCCTTGTGCGCCTCCCGCAAAGCGGGCAGGGCTCTCGCGGTTTTGGGCACCCTCGCGTGGGTGAGCCAAGTACTGCGGGGCGGTGACTGGCATTGAGTACAGACGATGAGGTACGGGTTGGAAGGGGGTGGCAGGTGGCTATCTGTCCGGATATCGGATATCAATCCAAGCGGGGAAAAGGGTGTGCGTACATTCGTACAGCGATGGGGGGGCGACCCTTGACGAGAATATATTCGTCCCTCCGTCCTTTCCTCGAGGGTCCCTTCTTCTTCCGCTGACAACGCCAACGCCGGTCAGTGGGTCCGTGGTTCAGGGTTTAGGGCGTCCAAAACAAGAAGGGATCTTCACGGAAAAAGACAGGGCGACCAATTTCATGCCAACTGTGCTCCTGCGTGTTCCAGTGGGGTGGATATTCCGATTGCGGCCGTTCGCGATGCAGCCGCAATTGAGGTGTCCGTGCATCAGGATGCGTAAAAGGCGGTCTGCATGCTTGGCATTGTAGAGGTGATTTGCGTCTGTCTGAAGAAGGAGATTCGGGTGTCGAATTTCGGCATGCTCGGTGCATTCTTGCCAGGCAAGGGAAATACCAATACGGCTAAAAGAAACAAAACGGAGATTTACATGTATTGTTCTCTGTCTTTCTTTTGGACCTAAAATACGTCTACAAGAATGGCAATTGTGCACAATTAGAACCGCAACGGCATGTGCATTCTGCATTCTTCCTACGGCATCAATCAGTATCCGTTTCCGACAATCCATGGCTTCATGGCTTTCTGCTTCTGCAGCCCCCTATGTCATGAAAATACCTCCCATGCTAGACCCACAAGAGGATCAGGATGACAACTGCCTGCCTCGAGCACACGTTTGCGCAAAGAGTGCAGCGTGTTTCATTACATACCATGAACGTGTTCCCTTACATGTAATGTAATAATGTCGCTGTGCAACGACAGATAAATTCAATCGGTCAGCATCCATGTCCGACCAATCTGTGGCTCAGCTCATGCAAGTGCATTGTCTCTTCCCTCATGGCGTCTGGCATGTTCTGGCGGCACACAGCGACCCCAGATCCACTGGTGCCCGCTGGAGGTCATCACCGGCGCTCATCGCCGACTGCCGCAAAGATCCCACAGTACAATCGTGTGCCCCACTGAGCTGTCACGTGCTGCGTGACCGCGTTGGGGAGTTTCGGCATTGCCAATCGCTCCTCACTCCATTCACCACGCGCCCAACTCCCCAGGCCTCGTGACTTGCAAGTCGCTGTTTGGCGGGATGTAATTCTCCCTTCGCAGCCTCTAGTTGGCATGACTAAATCGCATTCATCACATTTGCTCCCAAATACCACTTAAATATGCCTATTTCAGGCTTCTGATGAACTGCGTGTATTATTGCGTTGGCGAATAAGAGCCAGCCGCATTTCGCGAACCTGCAGGGGGAGCTTTCAATGCATTGTATTTCGATGTGACAAAATTGTCGTTGGTCAAGATGTCGCATCAAGCAACGAATGGCTCGTAACTAACACGTGGTGGCTGATTGGGTGCTACCATACAATAGAGCAATCAGGGTTTAGCGTGGACAACAAATAAGGCTTGGAAACGGAACGAAAAAATGCACGCTTGAATGCTATGCGTAGACTGTCCGAGATGCACAGGACCGTAAATTAGTCAGCCTGAATAGGCTGGATGAAGACTATGGGTGCTAACAGCAAGAAGATTAATTGCTTCCAAAAGCTTGAGAAAATTTTACGGGTGTGTTCGTCATGCCAGACCGCGCTACAGAAAGGCAGCGAGGGAGTTTCAAGAAAACTTTGGTGCAGTTCATGCCACTGCCAAGAATAGATTGGGAAAGGCAAGAGCATTGCCGAAACGCTGGCATAATTTATGTTAGTGCAGAAAATGTGGCTCGGAGATGCAACATTGTCGTTGTAAGAACGCCCATCCAATTAGGCCTAATCGACTGGGCATTCTTACAACGACAATTCTTGCAATACGCTCCCCCCCAAAAAGATTTATTTAGGAAAAGAATGGGGCTGAGTTAGCTAGTTCATTGAGGGCGTAACCCATTGCCGTAACCTCCTTGGCGCTGAGCGCCATGGCAATTAATGACCCCATTTAGGGAGGGCATCAAGCTGGCAACACTAAAGTGGGCATTGTCACTTTTTGGATAGTGACCGAAATCCATTGGATGAGCAAGTGTTCTCATTGAAAGGAACAAACTTTTGCTAGGTTCAGACTCCTGACGATGGTATCGACAGCAATTGGTTAAATTTTATGAGACAACCCATCAAGAGTTTTCGATGGTACTCCAATTCAAACGAAGTTTGGGGTTACCCCAAAGTTGTCCAGTCTATAGCCCAAAGGCTGATGATAGCCAGTCTATCCAAAGACATGTGCTAATCGTATCACATGCCTCTCAGTCACAGACGGATCAACGATAGGCCGATGTTTTGAATTTCCTCATCAACCCATGACACATGCTGTCCTCTCTGCTGAAGGTTTTAGTTGGGATTACGCCTTATTGTGAAGGGCGGAAACGCCCCTGTAGAACGACATCTATATTGCCAAAGATGGCAGCTTACTGTGTGTGAAGTGGCCTGATATGCCTTTGCACACCCAGGGCAGCAGGAGAGTACGCACTAGTTGGGAACTGCATGTTGGATTACGGTGACGGCTCTTCCGCCCCATGCACGCATTTGCCCGCCGGGGCGCGACACGGGTACATATCCCTGAGGCTCCCGAGCCCGCTGTACGGAGCTCGCTTGGATATGGACGGGAACATGCAGATATGTGGGAAAGAAAGCTCACGCTTTTAGGAAATCAGATGACATATAAAATTCGTGGTGCAGAATAAATGTGCGCTTCTGCGGAATGGCCTGTGGACCACTCTCTTCCTCCCACAATATTGTGGGACAGATTAATCAGTCGATTCATCCTGCACCACGGTCAGCAAACCACGCCTTTTCCGCCCTACTCAGCCTCCCGCCTTGTGGGGCATTTGCATTGCTGGCTCCGATGGGGTGTGCTATCGCCTGAAGCGCAAAAAATGGCAACGGGCGATCCACATAGGAGGCACCAATCCGAGAGCCGCGAGGGGTCAATTCCGGGTTCTAAGGCTGATTCAAGCAAATCAGAGCTTGACTGACAGACAGATCGAAATCACCCACGTTATCTCCATGCCGTCAGAGAAACAGTGTCTGCGCCTTGTTCTATGAAAACCCAGGGTACCGCAGTATGGCGTTCATGCTCTCGTGCTTCCTCAATAACAAAACATATTGGAATCGTTTCTCAAATTCATCATCATTATCATAAATTCATCTTCATTTGTGCATGATTCACCACCAGAAGTTCACAATGTCCCCGATTTGTTTCTCGGGTTGCCTGTTTGCCCATTTAACATTGGCTGGACAAGACAGCGCATCTCATCGACCCACGGCCCAATGATGATCCTTGCTTTGTTGGCGCAATTTTCAATTTTGAGCAAATTGCTCACGTTCAATGCGCGGGGCGCAACTGGTTGGCGCACTACCAGATTACATTTCGTCAGGCACGCCTTACAACAGGGCAACACCCCGCCGCACTGTAAGGCAAATGTTCTGCCGGGGCGACGCACTAGCTGCGTTGGCAGTAAAATGTGATTGCTTCGGAGAATGGGTGATTTGCGAATGAATGAAGATAAACGGATCACATACTCTTCCTGAGCAGAAAATGTGTGCGCCCTGAGGTAGTGGCTCAGTGTAGCAACGACATTAAGAGGCTCGCAACGTAGTATGATCAATATCAGGTTGCATTCCTGCATAAGCTGCAGCCAACCGTGGGCAGTTAAAAAGTCTTAAGTGGCAAACAGCGCCCAGTTTGAAGATGTTAAATCGCGATGTGGATGTCTTTCCGGCTGTGAAGTGTCCCAAAAGTAGAACTACACTGATAGTCCCAACCAACTCGCCCCGGCTTATCGTTATTTTACCTCCATGTTCTCAATTGCCTTCCAGCAATGTTTTGCACCCGGTGCTTCTTACAGTCGCACTATGCGATCACTACTCCATTCTCTCGCGCCTCAACGCCATGTGGCCCAGAAATTTATCATGATCTTTTTTTTTGGCCCAGAAATTTATCACCACAAGAACTGCAATGCCATCCTCTTGCAGGACACAAGTTCGTCCAGCAAGCATGTGCGGAACTTTCCGCACGGGCGAAATTCCCGTCGTCATTTTCTCGCCTTTGTTGGGTAGCATAGCCAAGGTGGCCATCGCTGTGAAAGCCTGAGTGCTGCGTAAACTTCTTTTGAGTACCACGCCGCCCAAACTGGCTCAGATTGAAGAACATGCCGGGGACTTGTGCAGTGCAGCTGTCCACCCAGCTGTCCACGATGTACGCCGTGTGCAATGGCCATAGCTGGGGCATCTGTGAGCTGTCGTGAACCGGTGCAGCTTCCTTGGCCACCTCACTTACCTGTCCCAGGATCGCCTTCTTCATGGCCACCACAACCCACAATATGGCGACGGTTGCCACAGCCGAAGGTGAAGAGTTCAGGTGTGTTCTCTCCATCTACGGCAGCAAGAGAAAACAACAATTTGGGAAAATTATTGGTGATTGTGAATGTATCCAATGCAGATCAGTTGCTGGAAGCGCGTGGATTTCAACGCTATGGCTCAGGACTGCCGATTTGGCGAGAGCTTATGTACAGTTCAGTGAATTTAACAAGCCAATTCACCGATTCATTCGTTCAATCGACTCCGGTAGACGTATGATTCAAAAGTGCGCGCTCAATATCGCCGAAGGCCATCAATCAACAGTGATTAATCAGAAAATTCGAAACACACAAGAACAGCAGCACAGACAGCACCATTGTTTGCTGATTGCATGAGTGGCACGAAATCCATCAAGAACGCATTGCGATGCAGAGCGGCGATTTCCAGCGCATGCGGCTGCAAACCACCGCGAAGCTTTGTGAGCTGTGGGCTGCGAGCCAATGGGCACATGGAACCGAGGGCCCACTCGCCTCTCATAATCAATCTGGGCAACCAATGACGGGGTCCGACGTCTGAGCTTCGCCGAACCTCGCGCGGGTGGAACCTGCGCGTCAGTGCATCACGAAAACATCAGCGTTCGGTTGACCTTCAGGGCGGACGGCGACCGCAGACCGAGAGTGCGTTGGTCACTGCGGCGCACCAAAGGCCAAGGTGATTAAGCAGGCGCGCGTCAGCGCTCGCGCGCGGCGGGGCGTCGGGCGAAGCCGACAGGCATCTCGGCGCGCAAAGCGGTTGGATCTTTCTGCGCAAAGGACCTGACCCACAGGAACAATTCCGTGGATCTCGACACCGGTGCAGCCGCACACAGAGGCGTCCTGTCCGCACGGAAGGCGAAACGCGAGAGCGAGACCCGAAACCTGAAAAACGCTTGAAAGCTGGGGGGCAACTCACCCCCGATGCGCGAAGGACTGCCCTCCTGCACCCGCCGCGGGGGCGCTTCTAGCGCCCGCGCTGGTCGCTTTCCCTCCATCCCGAACGCAGGGACCCTCCTCGCCGACCTGTGGGCGAAGTCCCAGCTTGAGTGTTGGCTGCAGGGGGGGCAGGCGTTGGGGACCAGGCTAGCGAGAGCGGGGCGACTGGCTGATTTATTGGGCGCATGCGCGGGACCGGGCGGTCAGTAATCATCCGAGTCAGGGGGACGTGGCATTCCGGGCCAGAATCGAGGCACGCGTTTTGTGCATGAAGGGGAGACATTATTTGAATTCTGCGCGCTTAACGTCGATGTGATGCTAAGCTCAGAATCTTCCGCCCCCACCCCCCACCCCCACCCCCCTGCTTAGTGTCAGTCCTTATTTCGATACCAGGATGACATGGCAACATTACCTAACAATGCCGTACAGCTTGAAAGTAAATTTGAGAAAACAGCCAGAATTGTAGCGCTGTCAGTTGTTTGGAAAATGTGATGTCAAAAGCCATGCTAGGCGAAGGGAGCAACCTAAAAGCCTGCAAATTGGTCCATTTTATGGGCTTCCTCGAAGTTTGAGGAGGTTTTTGCAACATGTCATGAGCTATGTGCCGTTGATCGGCGGCGTTTTCGTGCATCATCCCGCCTTTTTTTGATTTTAGTACAATTACATAATCTCTTAGTGTCAATGGCTGGCTGGACCCCCCCGCCCCCACCCCCGGGGGGACCATAAAGTACTGCGAAGCGACTGGGCACACTGAAGCAAGGGACCTCAGGTGCAGTGTGATGGTGATGGACACCAACCATTCACACATTCCGTCAATGTGTTGTCATGTGGGGGACATTGCTGGGTGGGCAAAGGAGACCGATTAGGCAGAAACTGAAGAAACTGCGACCTCACAACAGTGCAAGAAACAGCAAGCATTCAGATCCACAAGGTGGACACTCTCGTGATGAACAGGGCGGACGTTCTGTGGCGTCCACACACTCGTATCCATCATGGCTCAGGATCGTCGTCACCAAAAGAATCACGCGCCGACCACTTCCATTCAGTTTCTGTACATCTTCTCCAAGCACGATGCACAGCAGGAGAACGTTGAAAGAGCAGGCAGTGGCACACTGCCTGCTTTTGATTTCAGACAATGCTACAGATAGAGACTCACCAAAAGGGGCCCCGTTCTCCCACAGCGGCGTACAGAAACATAATACTAGTACACAATGGATGCATCTGCATGCACTCGGCCTCGCTGACCCTCACCCCCCACTAAATGGCATGAATCGCTTCCCCAGGCCCCAGTGTGCCATTGAGTGTACAGCTCTCTGTTGTGCAGCGGTCTGCCCGTCGCATCCCTCTGTCGCTTATTGCCACGACCCATTCCTACCTTAACCGCTGTGCAAAATGCCACACCATGCAGACCTCTCCAAGCTCCAACCAAGAGAATGAATTCCCCATCAGCACCAGCCAGCCCACCGCCCAACTCCGGGCACACCGCTCCCACCCGGAACTATCAACAATTGAGTGACATCTGCGCGTCCTACTCTAATGGGCACCAACAATAGCCTAGTTATACAATCTTCGCTCTGTGGCACAGGGACCAGCCCCACACCACGGGCCCTCAGTTGCTCTCAATGCTGTTGCAGAAACTAGAAAACGAGCCCTCAACTTGGCTTCAATAGCCCCTGCTCCCCAACGCCCTGCCCCACACCCTTGACCCCTGCCAGCATCTGGTCGTGGGTCCACACCCCACACACTGGCCGACTTTTCAAGTCTGGGCTCACGACGTTGGGAACAGGCGACTCCTTCAACGTGGTGTCCACATTGGCGACCTCCGGCTCCCTATGGCTGGCGTCCGACCCGCTCTTGTGGATACAGGCTGCCACCATCCTGCTCAAGTGCGCCAGGGCGAGGGCTATCTGGCCAACAGTAATGGCGCCCCTGTGCCGCGACTTGAAATCCTGGTGGCCTACACCCTTCCGCTTCAAGTGTGCCCGCAGATCCACGATCCCCTCCCCATCCCATTTCACACCCAGACTGGTAAGAAAATAGCCAAGGTCTTTGTACATATCTTCCAACGGCTCCTGACTGGAGCCAACCTTGCTCTTTGCCACCGCACCCTTTCCAGTTGCCTTGCTCTTTTGAGGACTGACAAGATTAACAATGCTATTCTCATCAGCCACAGATGATGGCGGTGGCGATACCTGCCCCAGAGGCAAGCCGCTCTCTGCCAGTTTGCCTTGATTCTGGCTCCTTGACTCCTTGGAAAGGAGCAACTCCCTCACCAGGGCAGCAATGGTGCGCAGTGTAACCTCTGGCAGATCGCAGCGATTCCAGTCGTATCCATATCCGCCAATTATAGCATCAGCCAGGTAGCCGCGCACTGTGTCCAGCTTGATGCTGGCTTCTGCAGCTACCTCCATCAAGGTCTTTGGGCTGCCATCAGAGGCAGCGTCCCCCATGAACAAGTTGTACACTTTCAGCTTGCTGGGCTGGAGAACGCCCAGCTTTGCTGATGCCTGCACCGATCCAGGATCTCTGCTGCTGTCTGGTGACACAAACGGCAGAGCGAGGGAGCACGGCATGGCAGGTTCACTCTTGGGCTTCGTTGGCAGCTTCATCAGCTCCTCATAGATGCGAAGCGAAGCATAGGCGTCCAGAGCAGCGTAGCTCTTCTGCACCTCAGACAATGGGAACTTCTCCCAGTTCCCGCAACGGACCTTCTTGCTCTTGGACATTGCGGCACTGAGCAGCCTCTCTGATAGGCCTATTTGCAGGAGCAGGAATCCACAGGCGTTCAACAGCTGATCGCCATGACACCATCGAGGCTGACGACCAGCATTCAGCACTGGCACCTCAGGGTGCAACTCATGTTGTGACATCGACAAGCAGCAAGGCCAAACCATTCCAGCTGAACATGGCAACAAGCACTCAGCCACAGCGCCGTGAAGTTGAATTTGTCAGGCACAAACAGTGGTGCACCAGGACGACCCTCCATTCGCTCACCGTTCCAAAAACACACAAAGAGGATTGGAGGCAATGGTCATCAATCTTTATCTCCTGCCACACAAGGTCATTCATCCAAAGAATGCACGCATACCTGCTGCAGGTAATTGCCACAAAGCAGTGAAACATCAGTCAAGGCTACTCTCCACCCAGGGAGGTTGGCGCAGAAACCTTGAGGGCAATGCAATTGCACACAATTCATCAGCAATGCTTGTGTCCCACCTGCAAGGCTGCACTTTGTTCCAGAATAAACCCCTTTGCCCTCGAGAGCATCACTTGGCATCTCTTTTTTCGAAGCCACAGCACCAAGGTCCATGCACCCATTGACTTCCAACTTGAAGTCGCTCCGCAGCTTTTGCGCATCCCCAGAGATAGCGACGCCAACCTTTGTGACTGCCTTGCAACCTAGCCAATTTGCCAACTTGGGTAGCATGCCGCACATTGAAAGGTGGATCAGGAGGCAAACAACACCCTCAGGGTCCGAGTCCTGCACAAGCAAGACACCGTTCATTTGCCAAAGGCCAGGGAAAGTGCAGCTGCACCCCAGCATGGGTGCATTGCAAAGGGTGCGTGGTTTGCTCCAAAAATCACGACAAAACAACAATGGCACCCCATGGTTCCTCAAATACAGCATACATCTACCACTCACCCCTTTCAAGGCCACAATAGGAAAGTTCCGATCCTGGCATCGCAACTGCCAGTAGTTTCATCGCTGGCCAATCTTGCAGCATGATGATGAGCAGCAATAGCGTGGAAGTGGGCCAGGAGAACCTTGTGCAAGGGTGCATGCTTGCCACCCCAACTCATTGGCAGTAATCTCAAGTAAGACTTGAAAGCTTGGTAAGCTTGCAAACTTCCATCCAAAGTGTCACACAACAATACTGCCCTGCAGAAAGTCAGATCAATGCTGCAATGCACAGAGTTGGATAGCGATTCAATAATGGTGACATGCTTCCTTTCTGTTGAAAAGACAACCCTGAAAAAGCGATCAAGAATAATGCATTCCAATACAACGAACTGCAGCCATAGCCTTACCTTGGACCCTGCCTTCCACCCCTTCCCGTGCTTCTTCCGCCAGCAAAGTTGGATCAGTGCTGTCTTGTTGGGTGACTCTCCTTTCACAAAGCTTGGTCGCCATTCCAGGTCCATCCCAACTACACCATGGTCCCAGGGCATTGTTTCCATGTAGTAGTCCACGTCCTCAGTCATATAAATATAGATCGGACTCCCAGGGAACTCCAGCTGGGGTAGTCTTGACTCGACTTTGTATCCCTGAGTGAAAGACTTGGGCATGGCCCGGCTGCCTGTCAATGGACTTGTCGAGGCATCAGCCGCATATTGCATACCTGAAGAGGGTGTGCAGCTGCCCACAGCCTGGTATTGCTGGCTCTGGGCTTGGGCGGCTCCTACTGGTTGCATGTACATCCAACCTGGACCCCTGAAGCCTCCGGGAATCATTGCCATCCCGCTGGAATGTTGTGCTGAGCCAGGAAGGGAGCCCTACAGCCAAAATGCGCAGATACGTTGCGGAGACGTGGTGAGAGCTTGAGTAGAGTTCACTGCGTCTGGGGACAAATTCCAGGGCCCTGACACACATTTCCTTACACACAGCAGGTACAAGAGCTCTGAAGGGCACCTGCACGCCACGACCGCGTAATGATAACAAGATGGAGTGACTATAAACATGTGCAAGGTGGGCAGAGATAGATTTTGAACGTCATGGGGTGGCCTTGTGCATTTCACATTTTGCAAGGTGTGCTGCGTCTCTCTGTACAGCAGAGAACATTCATGGAACTGTGGCGAACCCTGCAACTCGACGCACCCTTGGAAGGGGCACAAGCTTAGTGGATGGTATTCTGCCCTGATTGACATTCGTCCTTGTGTACTCTTTGCCCTGTATGCTTGAATGCAGCAATAAATGTGGCAGTACACAGCATGGTGTGTTGGCCAAATGATGTGCGAGGCCTGAGTGAAGGTCGCAGATGTATCACTTGCTCTGCCAAGAACTCTGGAGAGAAAAGCAAGAAATAATCCAGGCAGCAGGGACATTCTCAGGTGACCACAGCACCCCCCCCACACACACATTCCATCCCATCAGCCATTACCTCTGCCATTGGCACAGCCTCGGCTTGGCCAGGCCAGCAGCCTGACGGCCATGGTTGAGTGGGCACAAGGGGCACCGGAGGAGACCCACCAATACCCAGAGGGTCCCAGGCGCCGCTCGGCGACCCACCATACCCGTAGCACGGGTAGCCCCCAGGTGGGGCGTTCCTTTTCTTGGTCGGCCTGTTGGGAGGCGATCCATGTCCGCCCCCCTCCTCGGCCTTGCCCGATGCCTGGCCCTTGGCGGCGGTGGATGGCCCCATTCCCGCATCATGCCCACCGGCATCCATCCCCTGCCCCCGGTGGCCCCTGCCCCACCCCCCCTCCGCGGGCCACGGCTGTCCATTCCCGGACATCACCCACTGGGGCTGCGGCACCTTGTAGCCGTAGTAATCCCCCGCGGGGGGCCTGGGGGCGCCCGCCCAGCCCTCGCACCCCCACACCACGCCCGGCCCCCACCCGTAGTACCCCGGGACGGACGGCCAGGCGCCCCTGCTGGGCCCCATCCACCCGCCCACGGGGGCCCACCCCTGAGGGGGGCAGTACCCGCCCTGCGGGCCGAACCCCTGGTACACCCAGCCGGGATGGCCTTCCGGCGGGCCCCCCTGCGGTCTGGGCGCCCTGCCCGGTGGCTTGCTGGGGCCGGGCCGCTCACTGGCGGGCCCCATCGCCGCGGCCGGCGCGCCGCGAGAGGAACCTGCGGGGCCGTGCGGCGGGAGGGCATGTCAATTCAGGCGGCCGCAGCATCCGTCCCGCTTCGAGCGGGCCGCGGCGGTGGGGAGCCGCGCCGGGCGGCATTGGACGTCCGTGCCCCGCCATGCCTGCGCGGCCTGGCGCAAGGGCGCCAGCTCCAAAATCTCCGCTGCACGCCAGGGGAGCCGGGCACGCAGCCAGACAGCCGACCGCGCCCCCCGTCCTGGGACCAAGCAGGGCATTCACAGATCGACCGGCCGCCGGGGGCGGGCGCCAAAGCGGTCCCTCCCTCCCGCCGTGGCGCCGCCCTCACCTGGCCGCTGCCTTTCCGCCTCTCGCCGCTCCACGATCTCCGTCACGCGGCACATCTCGGCGTCGTCATCGCTGTCCGCGGCCTGCCGGGCGGCAAACACATCCATCCCACATCACACATCGGAATACTCGGCCGCCGGACGACCTACACGAGGGGCCGACCGCGCGACCGCTCGCGGCCGAAGCCTGTGAGCGCCCAGGCCGGCATGGGGCGCCCGCCTTCTAGCCAGTCCCGGGTCCGGTCGCCACCGAGCGCAGCGCCCGTTTCAAGGATACCGTCGGCAACTCAGCGGCGGGTCGCGGCGGCCTGCCATCTCCCAGACCGGCTGTTTGAGAGCGGCGAGCCTCGCAGCCCGGCGATGGGGGGCGGCGACGGAGTCGCGGGCGATGCCGTCGAGGCGCTCGCCGCGCATCCTGGATGAATATGCGATGGCTGGCAGCGGTTCGGCGCGCCTTGCGCCCCGGGAATTTAATCTCCGCAGACGCGTCGCCACGCCGAAATGTCGCCGCCCGTTGGGAAGCGCGTCGATCTGCCGCGCCCAAGCGGCTGGTTTTCGCGCCCGGTCTCGCTCGACGCCGCGAGCATTGTGACGGTTAATCCCCCTGGCGGCGACGGGGGGTCCCTTCCCCGCGGCTTCGCCCGGGATTGTAGGGCGAGCGCGGCCACCCACCAGGGCGTCGGCCAGCGCCGCGTCGCCGCCGGCCGCCCCGTCCGTGCCCTCGCCCATCGGGCCGGCGGCCTGGATGCGAGAATCGCTGATGCCGGCCCAAGGCAGGTGACTGGGCCGGTGGGGGCAAAATAGGTGCCAATGCCGGAAATTGAGAGGGGTCGGGCGCAGGCTTTCTGTGGCCGCGGGACCCGCCCAGAAGGCTAAAGTACTGATCGCGCAGGCCACCAAACACTGGGTTCCCATGTTCCCCTGCGCAGCGCAAGCCACCCACCAACTGGACAAGCTCGCGGCCACCGGGACGCGTGTCCCCGGTCGCGGCGCCGGTCGGTCCGAAGCCAGAGTTGCCGCAGGGGGCAAGCAGGCGCCCGCGAAGCCGTTCCGGTTTTGCTACGCCTGCGGTGAGCGTTTTCCGCGGCGGATGCCATGAACTGTAGGGCGAGCGTTTCGTGTTCCTGCGTGGCGCGGGGAAAGGTCTCGAAGTCTTCTGGTCGGGAACGAGCGTCCATTGCATTTTTCTGAATTTTGCCTTGCGCTGGGTTCATTGATCGCGACCGATTGGCGCCATGTCCCAGCAGCCAACAACCTGTGTCGCTTCCCGCTGCGGTGCAGGAACCGGGAAAGGGTACCTCGCTTGCACGAGATGCGGGGGCCAGGGATTGGTGCTGACTGAGGTGAGATGCCATAGCTGCTCGTCACGCCGATTTGTCTTCAAATTGAGCTTACCTATTTTGGTGCGTGTTCTTGCTTGCTTCGATCGATGGCGCGGCGATGGCAGGACCCGCAAGTACCCAAATCTCCTGCTGATCACGGCGCTTGCCTTCAAGGCGATTGGCACGGCCTTTTCTGGCAGCGCATGCAGCGGACCCCGCCCAGCAATTTTGAGCTTGGGCAACGTTGCAATTCACTTCGTGATGAGTCAGTGCGTTTGAGGAACGGGGCTCTCTGGGGTAGCAAGCCTACTGGTGAAGTGGGTGGTGTATATTCAGGGGAATCCAGCTTTATGGGTCTGTAGGACTGACTGAATAGCGGAATAAAATGGTCAAACCAGTGGTAGGCGACTGGAGACGATTCATTGCAGTAAGGAAAAGCAGAATGTCACACAATGTGCATCCCCTCCTGAGGGAGAAGATGTGTTTCTTTCTGCGAAAGATGATGTGGAGGTCTCCAAGAGCAGGATGAGAACAAACAATATGGTCCAACATGACAATGAAAATTGCACTTGGGTATGCGCCCGTCCCATGGACGCATGTGGGCTTCTGGATCAGCTTTAACAGCATGGAACAGTGTCCACCAAATTGTGTTCAAAAGGGGGATGCCCAACGTATGACCAGGTCCCCTTGTTAGCAACAAATGAATGATTGTGTACTTATCAGTCACGTCTATGTCATCCCTGTCGCAGGCAGGTTTCACAGGCATTGTTTGTGATGGACCTTTTCTCCCATCGCTGGCTTGAGAGTGCATTTCTGTGTCGATCTTTTGCAGCCTGGTGGCGCTGGTGTCCCTTTCAAGATTGGTCTTGCAAGATGCCGGATGTGCTGGGGCAAGGTGGGTTCCTATTGGCTGTCGATGCCAGCGTGTGGCTGCAATGCAATATAAATTTTGCCCAATTTTGCCGACATCTGCCAAGGATTTGTATTGAGATTCATGGTGCACAGCACACTGGACATAGCCTGGTGAGTGTGTGGTCTGTCATTTTGCACATTTTGATTGGGATACTCACAGTTTGGATTTCTGATTATCCTGCCAGAGACCTGTGGACAATAATGAAAGATAAAAAGACCTTTGGAAATGCTTCTTTATTCAGTGTTCGCTACCACAGGGTCCAACGTCGCCATGTTGTGGTCACTTGTGGCCAAAACTAGACAATGCCCCGAAAGGCCGCAAATTACAGTGCTTGTAACGTACGTGACTAGAGTATTGAAAGTATTGAAAGCAATGTCGTGGTGCTCTGAGGTACGGAGAGGAATCGCTGTGAGGCCTCGTCAAGGCAATGGACACAACTTTCATATGAGAGTTTTTTGCATGTTGTAGGGCAAAATTCCATGTCCCTACTGCACAGGCTACCCCGTGAGGATGAAGCCTCCAAGAGACCCAAAACTAGACTTTCCTGAGGAGCCTTAGGTCAATGTTGCTCAGGAATTTCAACATGTGCATCAAGTGCCATCCCTCAACTTGGCACTCACATTCCAAGTGTAGTTGGCAGTTTCTGCATCTAGCTGGGCAGAATCTCAAGTCGTTTTCTTTCAAGACGGGTAGTCGATGACAAAACTGCTTGCAGGACACAGTGATGTGATAGTTTTTGCCCCAAAACACTCAATCAAAAACATTGCAGCCACGTTGTTGATCACAATGCGATTATGTATATTACATATTAGCCATGAACAACTGCATTGTTTTGTTCCTAGTGCTCGCAGCCATGTGCTTGAGGCGTTGTTAACACTTTGCTGGGAACCCTGCCCTTTAGCAGCACTGGCGCTACTTTATCTGCTACCAAAAATAACATTGTGTGGCAACAGTGCAGCCAGTGGAATGGCCAGTCTTTGAATCGGCTCTGCCCTTTGTATGGATGCTGCGTTGCTGGACACCCCCACCTACAACATTGTGTCACACTTTCTTTTTTTCGTCACTCTGCCAGCTTGACCTGGGAGACCCAAACCTTTTGGCCTCATGGATGTTGGCGATTCTGTGCTACAGTAGCAATATTTTGGCAATCAAGAGTTGCTCTGCAATAGCTTCTCAACAGCTGGAAGCGCATTGCTGTCCATGGCATGTCCGACTTTGTCCACGATCACCACAACATCACCACAACATCTCTGCCAGGTCACATCAGGTCATTGATTTATTATTGGCAGAAAAGAGAAACGTGGCTTACAATGGAGAACCCCTTCCTGGGCAGACATTTCGTTGTTGAACTCTGCGCCTGACTGTGGAAAGTTGCGCAGCAGCTAATCATGCTCTTAAGGGGCTAGCAGCAAGGTAGATCAACACCAAATGTGTTGCAAGAAAGCTGCACACTCTTGGACACATCAGGTCAAATCGGAGTAGTCTGATCGATTCATAATTGTTGTGGAGGGAGGCCCACATCCAGCAAACAGAACACGTGTGGACCTGGATCACGGGTTCTCCACAGGTGCCCTCTGTGGCTGCTGTGGACAGAACCTCCCTAGACTGACTGGCTTCTGGTGACTGTGACTGGCGAGCAGTTCAGCCACAGACAGATACGGGTCACACAACAGGTCGAAGAAACAACTATGTACAGAAAGCAATCTACCCCAGTCTTGCCCCTGTCAATCCTCAGGTCGCAAATGATGGCAGGCAACAAAAAGCACAGCCCTCAGTTTGGGCCACACCTGCACACTCACGTTTCTGTTGCAAAGCAGATGTGTTGAGGTGCTGCAATGGACATCAGCAGTCGGCCGTGAAATAGCCTCATGGAAATGTGCCCATAGCTACAATGACCTGCAAGTGCAGTGTTTGTGAATCATGGCAAATGCTTTGGAAGCAGAAGCACATTGCCAAATAGTGATGTCATTCTCAACATTGCACTGATGCACAAGCCACTGCCATCACCTTACTCACTCCTCAGTATGTATTTTGCCTGAGCTTCACATTCCTAGCCGTTTAGCAGTATTGGTGCCATCTTGTTCTGAAGATATGCAGGTCCTCTGCTGCCTTGAGGCAGCTAAGGACTATATGTGGCCCCTAAGGGAATACATTGTTTTGAATTCTGTACACTTAGCGTCAAATTGACGCTTGGGGGGAGGGGTCCAGCCAATGACGCTAAGAGATTATGTAATTGCATTAAAATCAAAATAATTTGGGAAGATGCACAAATACACCACTGATTAGTGGCAGATAGCGCAGGACTTGTCGCAAAACCTCCCTCAAAACTTTCCATCGTCGAGAAGTCCCTAGAATGGATCCTTTTCCAGGGTTAGGGGCTGCTCCCATCGCCTATAATGGCATTTGGCATCCCATTTTTCAAATCACTGCAATAGCCACAATTTTGGTCGTTTCCCCCCTTAGTAGCTATTTTGAAGTTGTGTGGCATTGTTTGATAATGTTGCTGAGTCATCCTGGAATCGAAATAAATTGACGATAAGGAAGGGGGGAAAGGGGAGGTTCTGAGCTTAACGTCATGTTGACTTTAAGCACAGAAAATTCAACACAGTGTCTTCGCTAAGCAGGGCAGCTGGGATCGAGAAGAATACATGAGCTCCAACGCACCATAAATGAGCATTCTGGGCGAGGATGGAAGTGTGGCGGGCTGAGCAAAAGGTATCAGCGGAAATCTTGCTGTTTTAGCTGTCCTCTTGTCAGAATCCCAGCATAGATTGTGGTGGAAATTTCGTTTTACACTGGAGGTGTATCTGCACATGGGCATAGTGGATGTGTGAAGCGGCTAAACCCTCAGTAGATGATACAACGTCACCTCCTGTCGACATACCGTGAAATGCCAAACGCCGACTGAAGGGTGCAAGGCCATTGTTTTCCTCCGAAAAGACAACTACAACCATAGCAGATTTCGGCCGCTGGATAAATTGATGACCAGCAAGGAAAGAATTCTTGAAAAGATAATGCCACACTTGCTTCCCAAAAGGTCTTGTCAACCAGTGAATGCCAGCCTCAGCTCCAGTTGAACAGTTGCCGTTTTGCATGCATGTTCGTCCCGAACCGTGCAGGTCATCATCATCATGCTTCCGCGCCTGGTGCACCACCCTGAAGAAGGGGACATTCGAGGGAGTCGAACAGCTCTCCTTGGCAGATTTCCTCCAAGCCCTCACCACTGTATGACAGCAGAGGCGACACCTCGACACCTGGTGAGCACGTAACCGTGCCGCCCGCTGACTCGACCCACCTGCAGGCCAGACATTGGCCATCATTGCCTTGCGACACCAACAAAAAGTTTTGGCTGAAGTGCCTCTGGTGCCTGCAAAAATTACTGCACTAGCAGCGGAATTGACTGGTTTGTATATTTGAAACCGGAAACACCATTGATATCTGTATTTGAAATTGATAGCACCATTAATCGAAAGTGCATTCATCGCTTGCCACTGCATTTCTGCATGCGGAAGTCGTGCTCATGTAGCAGTGCTGGTGCAAAATAGTGCCCGAAGCACCGTCACGATCACGCTATTCAGCCCTGTATAAACACGCTTTGCACCGATGCCACACGACTTACAGCAATTCCTTGCAGCTGGTGCTCTTGACTTCAAAGTAACGTTGATGTACATCGTTACATGTTCAATTCAGCGACATTGGCGACATTTCAACAAAGACAGAAAAACTGCGAAGCCAAAATTCGTGTGCATGCGAACGGCGACATGCAGTGCCGTCTACATTCGGTGCGGCCCACCTTTTGTGGAGAGATAGAAGCAACGCTCGCGCCGTGTCAGGCGAATCCGCCGGTGAACCTCTGGCGTTCTTCACAGGCGCAAAGTGCTCCGCGCGGACAACTTCAAACAGCGCTTGCTTGGACGCCAACGGGAACGGGTCGAAAATGAAGGCCTCCAGCTTAATTCCCTGAATATACAGTTGGGCGTCGGGCCCATCAGTACTGCGAGAGCAGATGCTTCTTCATGACGTGTATCATAAGGGCAGCGAACAGCGCGCCACCACATTTCAGAAGCAAGCAGCAAGGACGTGACAGCCGCGGTACTCTTCCGCTAGAGCGGGGCTTGCAGACCACCACTCTACTGTGCTGCGAATTTCGAAAGGAGTGAACAGGAACGTCGCATACTCTCGCTGAAAAGCGGACCTGCGTCGGACCATCCTTGCCAGCGATGGTCTTCTTCGCGACGTGGTACAACGCCCCGTCCTCCAGGCTCTGCCACGCCTTCTCCAGAAAAGGCAGTGTGAAGAAATGCATGCAGATGTTGCCCCAGTTGAAGTTTAGCTGGCCGGTGGCTGGGTCCACCGATGTGGCCACCCTTTCGTCCATCTCTGAATACTCCACCACCCCCAGAGCGCCATTCCGACGGGCGAACACGCCCACCTTCTCTCTGGGATGCGCCTTGGCCACAACACGAGAGCCTGCAGCGTTGATGCCCCATGACCGTGATGAAGACGTGGAAGCAGTAAGGAGAAACGAACACATTCAATGGCGATGCTATCACACGACGTTGCACTGCCCATACGCACTGCAGCGCATTGTACATTCGTGCGCTATCGTATTCCTGTTGTACCACTGCATCATGCTGTGCAGCATCTTTGGGTACCATTGGCAACACAAACAAAAAAGTGAAACGTTGCCCACCAGTGGGCAGTTGACTGATGACTTTGTTAGGCCCCCTCAAGATGCATTTTGGATGACTGGAAAATTTAGGGTCGACTTTCTGGTCTAAGTTAGAGATTTGTATTTGAAATGGTGATGTTGTTGGTATTTCTGACATCATCCACGTGGCGATACCACGAAACTAGACTGGGACAGCCATTGAACTGGCACAGAGATGGCAATCTTGTACTACGAATTGAAGACCGGCATAGAACTGGACAGTGGCATTTTCGATGAAGATGTGAATATCATTTTGTATAGTGATGACTAATATAGTCAAGATCCATCTCAACCTACAATCGACCATGCAATCCGAAATGGTGAAGGATTGACTGATTCAGTTGATCTTGCAAAGTTATCGCAGGAATGGGAGATCGGACCCGTATTTTTGGGTGAGGCTGTACGATTTCATTATGTGTATAAATCATGCTAAGCTGATAACAATCGTGTACGGATTGTGTAATTCGCTTTAATAAAGGACCAAATCAGGTTGTTGACCATGATATTGGTGACATTCTTGTTTGGCGATATTGGAAACGTGTCTCCCTGCAACATCTTGAACGTTCTTTATATATCTTCAACAACGTCTCTACACCATTACAGCAAAACTGAACTTCATAGTAGCATGCCTTCGATCCAGTTGTCAGTTTGCTTTGTAGACCTTGTGGCATTGCGATTTTGTTCATCCTCCCAAACGTCTTCACATCATTACAGCAAAACTGAACATTGTAACAGTGTGTCATCGATCCAGCATCACAATAAGCTTCAGTTTGCTTAGTATACCTTGTGGCATTGCGATGCCCAACCGGTGTTCCAAAGCAGTTCATAGAGTCTCCATCTCGTGCCGCAGCCACTCCATCTTATCTCCAGGGGGCCAGACAAATGGGGAACGCAATTTTCTTCTTCCACGATGACAGCTATCCATGCATAACTCGAGGTGCCTCGATGCCAAAGGAGACAACCATCACACACGCGCATTCGACCAAACCAAGTGGTCTTACAAAATTGGAGCAAGATGTGTGCATCGTCCCCGTGTTTACGTGTATTCACACAGTTTTGGCGAAATGCGATATTCTTGGCAGATTCCTTCCAGGGGCTCACCACACTCAGCGCCCTTCTCCCAGCAGTAGCCGATGAACACAGGGTCACCAATGCGGACCAGCAAGTTGTCCACGCTGTAGCAGTCCACGCACTCCACACCATGCTCTCTCATGTGTCTAAGGGCACCCGACGTCGACAGGGCAAGGTACACACCGCCATTCCCGTTGGGGCTCTTTGCCACCTGGTACAGAACCAGCACACAGCCCTTCCAACACTGAAACTTATGCTGCCTCTGCTGTTCTCATCCTTGTACTGCATTGCCATCACTCTTGATACTGAGATCACTTTCGTTCCCACCATTATGCAAACACTTTCTGTGGCGTTTGTTACGCAATCACCAAGAACTGACCTTAAGCAACAGTAGCACAGAGCAATACGATCAACCCATGCTTTGCACCATTTCCATTGCAATCTCATCCTCAAAGCTGGTCCATGTGCCATGCACAGTTCGCCATACTTTAACATCGTCTCAAACTTAGCAACCAGCACCAATCAAACAACAGCCATCCAGTGGAGCCTTGTGGCATTACTATTGCAGCCCACAGCCAGGCCCTGGGAACATAGTATCCAAACGCCTTGTGGCTGTGGGGGCAGTGGACTGTCGTTTTTTGACAAGAGCAACAAAGCAGACAAAGCTGACAATCTAGTTTTGTACTGCCAGCACCAATGGTGCTCCCTTTGCACCAATGGCTCATTGGTACTGAGACATTGGTACCTTCTTTTGGGAAACAGTATAAAGCTCAGTGCATTGCAGCACTTGCTTGCATCAGTTTTCTCCAAAAGAATCCCACAGGCCAAGTCTCAGTAATTGAGTGCAGCCTTTGACGTTGAACACAAAGTCCCCAATCCTGAGGCCAGGTTGTGGTCTGGCCCGGATGCAACATGCGCATCCAAAGGCGGCAGTCAAGGAGGAAAGAATGATGCTGCCTGAATGGTTGGGAATGGTGTCTAATATTCTGTACTGGCTCCAGCAATTCTTCATGGGCGATGATGCTGTGGGTCAACTTCCCTTGTGCTCGTATTCAACATTCATTCGATTTGTCAAAACATAGGACAGGACACTGCCCATACACGCATTGGGCGACGCTGGGCAGCAACTGCACCTTTGACTTGGTTTCCATGATGATTTTGCCATCCTCGGTGAAGCAAGGCAATGTGCCCTGCTGAAAGAATGTGACCTGGGTCGGTTTCACCCCAAAGAAGTCATTCCTGGCAAAGAAAGCCCTGCAAGACAGCAAATGTACACTGACACAATTAGTTCAGTGATTCTTGCATGGTAACAAGACCAACAACTACACAAAACTCAAACCCAACAGCTTTTGAACCAGAGGCTTTGCACATCAAATGCTATTCACAAAACGCACAAGGTGCTTCGATGTATCAACAGTGGAACGTTTGTGCTGTGCACAGCTCCCAACATGTGACTGGCCAGTGTCTATTTGAACTTTGCAAGGTAGCTCAATAGATATTTGCTTACACTGTGTCATCATGTGTGGCTGAGCTTGTCATGATGTACCAGAACAGGGGCTTTGTGACTTCCGCACCAGGGCCGCTCGTTGCCTCTGCAGCAAGCCTTTGGAGTTTCAGGATTCTCTCAGCTTGAATCTGAAACAAAGACTTGTGGGACGGCAAGCCCACATCATAGCAGCCCTGATTTGACAAGAAAAAAGCACATGTGAATCCTGCACCAGTGGTCCAAAGGAAGGTATCTTTAACCCTGCGAATGTTGTGTTAAAAGATGGATAGGTTCCTTTCACTAAATATTGTCGAACAACACCTTCCATTGTGACCACCAGATGTATGGCTTGCATGGAATGACAAGTAGATTCGTGACCAGCAGTGACTCTATGGGTTATTTATGTGGTGACGTTATTGCACACACTCACAACCTTTGGCCAGAACAGCAGATCCTGCAGTCAGATGCGTTCCAATGTCTCAAGACATGCAGCAAGACCCCAAGGTGGTGCTCTTAAAGTTGCAAGCTGACTTTGCTGCATCAGCTGGGCGACTGTGGCCATCAGGTTAGGCGCTATTCACAAAACAGAATGTGCCTCCTGAGCAGGGCATTGCACATGCAAGGCCTCCCAAAGTGATCTCTTGCACACTGTATCATAGCATGGCATAGCAAATCTCGGTGCATTGCCATCCCTGACAGCTGATCACCCTTCCATTGCGGCGCAGATTGCCAAAGCAGATTGTTAAGCAGCATGCATCAGCCGAGTGAACAAGTGCTTGCGACCCACTACCACAAACAGGGAACTTGATGAGATGGCATGAGGCCCACAGTCAAAGAGCCCACCACTGTCAAATGTCTCCATTCCTCCTCACCGCTGCAGGGCTATTCGTACATTGGAGTGTCCATTTCAAGCAAAGCTTACAATTTTGCCAGGTCCATGAGCGGAAATGGCTCCTTTCAGATGGCACAGGGCCCTGGTCATATCTGATGCTGTCATTGCTTTCCTCGCAAGCGGAAATCTGCAATAAAGCCCATGGGCTACATCTTGAACAGGCACCACCCAAACAGAACAAAACAATATTGTTCCCTTTGCTTTGAATCATGCATCACCAAGGATGTACTCTATATTATGGGCGTACCTTGGGCTGTGAGCTGCCAAGGCGAGTGCCTTGCCCCCCTGCCAGCAATACGATGGCCATCTTGCCCTGATTCCAGCATACCACACCTGTCACCAAAGAGTGTGCACTCCGCAGCACAGCCTGTACGGGAATGTGCCAGGCTGGATGATTGCAATGATTGTCACAGGTATGCGCCTAAACAAAGCATGACATTTGCAGCAATCAGGGATGCTCAGGCCACTCAATGCAGTTCAAGCTCACCTCAGAGATGACCTTGCATCCTAGATGTCGCCACGTAGCTTTTAACTCTGGTTTCAAGTCCTGAGATTGCCACAGTGCGATGCATCAGTTGTGGCTCAGATCGGAAGCGCTGCGGAAGGCACAATGCTGTTTGGAAGAGAGGTCCAGAGATCTCCATGAAAGTACAACGACCCAATGGAAATGAGAAGACCAAGAGGCCAGTGATCAGGATCTTGTGACCTTGATTTGGAGAACATCCTTGACAGCCTCCACTTGCCCCTTGCTGGGCTCTGCATTTGCAAGCAGAAATCATTGTGACCCTTTGTGACACTCCAGAAATGGCAAGTGGAAACTAGAACTGGGCATAGATTCATGGGGAGAAGAGTCCGTGCACCATCACAATGAGGGTGACTGAAATGCTGTCCAGTCAAACTGCAAAGAATTGGCAATGGCTGGGGACAGAAGCTGGGCTTCACCTGACCCTGAAATGCTGGCTTCAAAAATTGCTTTGGCGTGGTCAACGTCCATGGCCTGTGACACAATTGGAAACCAGGAGAACAGCCCCTCATTAGTCACCTTTGTCTCTCATGAGACCAACCAGCATTGGACACTGCCAGTTTGACAATACAGGTGGTGATGCTGAAGGAAACCATTTATTGCAATTGTCAAATAACTAGCACAACCCTTGCATCCTCAATGCAACAGTGGACTTACTTACCTCAATGCAGGGAAAACCCACCAATGCTTTTACTCCATTGCCAACAATCCTCATAGCAATGTCCGCATGTATGAGGACTGAAAACAAAACCCAAGTGAAACAGCAGATTTGCTGCTCAGAGGGCTGAACGAGCTGAAGTCCAATGTTTGCAACAAGATAACACCTCCTCATGACTGGCCCTTGCAATACATGGACACAGGGCAAATGTCCAGTTTCCCAGATCATTCCCTGCCCGATTAGTTAAAATAGTAGGAGGATTTCGCCCTGTCATGTGGCAGATCACTCCCTGATGGCTACTGATGCCAGATTGGGGCATGACCTATGTTGACATTGTCCGGCATGTTTCCAGCACTTAGCTTGTACATTTGAAAACTTCATTCCCTGATAAGGATATTGTCGAAGCATTGCAACACAGCTCACTCCCCACAGTGGCAATTGCGCTCTTTTTATTTGGGAATAAGTGGCTGGGGATGGGGGGATCTCTTGTGAGTTTGAGGGGTACCAGGTGAAAACAGATGAACCATGCATTATGTACAGTACCTGCCCTTTAGCTAATTCCAATATCGCCCTCTAGGTGCAGTGGCTGTGCAATGTCATGTGTTTGACTGATGTAATCAACAGATGCAGATCATCAACATAGGTACCGACCCGTATGTCTGCACAGGATGATGATCCGCCATGGGGTGGCGATCCACACAACAGGTTCTCTGTCTCCCGTTCCTCCGCCAATGTGGGTCCCCCCAGCACACATATTCTTGCACACGTCATCAAACATTTCGTGCCAGCCTGCTACATCTGGAGGGTTCTGCGTCATGTTCCCAAAATGTTAAGTATCGTCCAACACCGTTTCTTGTTCAGGAGGGGGTTGCCCATGCTTTCTTTGCGTCAACAATTCGTTCGAGATCCATCCCCACCTCCAGATCCGCTCTCAGCTCCGTCCTTTCCGCAAGGGAGAGCTCGCCCCAGTCCTCCACCAGGTGTCCCTGACCGGCCCCCCGCACGGCGTCCATCAGGCGCCGCTCCACGCCCTGGCCCTCGCCCATCGACGCCATGCACCTCCAACGCCCCCTGCGTCATAGTCGAACATGCGTCGATCCCCCGCGCCAAAGCAACCAACGGGCGCGCCTCCGTTCAACAAATAGCGCGGCAAAGAGCGTCGATAGGGGCCCTCGACGAGGGCCCACCGATCCTTCGGATCATGCTTGCCTCCCTGGATCATCACTTTGACACTCCGCGGTCCATCTTTTTGCACACCACGCTTCGCACCAGGGTTCCTGCTGCGGCGCGCTGGGCTGAAAATGGTACAGTGCGCTTGCGACGCGGCGTTTTAGCAATGATCTGACTCGCTGCTTCCCAATAGGAGCCCGTCATCTGCATGTTTACGGGCGTCGTTCCGTGCCCACCTGCCGTTTCGGGACCAATCGCGCCAAAATACCGGCCGGGCTGCTGCCTGCGGGCACCAGATCTGCTCCTGCGCGCCCTTCCGGGGCGCAAGCCCGCAACGCAGCCGCATTCGCCGTCCCGAACAGCCGGCGGACGCAAATGGACGGGACACTTCAGGGCGACGCCCACTGTGTGCGCCAGAACATGTCGATGGGAACGCCGGCGCCGTACCCGCTTCCCACAAAGGTGAGGCCTCGACGTTCTGCGTGGCTTTCTGGCAGCTGTTCCCCCGAACGGAAAGGCTTTTAGTTGCCGCGAAGAATTCTGTGGAAGGGCCCCCGCGCTGCCTCTAGCCCAGCACACAAGAAACGTGGATCCCGCCCGTGTGGAAATAGTATTACTGCCTGCACCAAATCGGTGACTGCTTGCACCAAATCACGTGCACACTATGTCCTAACCTCAGTTTTAGGGTTGGATTAGTTTTAGGTTGAGTCGTAGGGTTAGTGTTAGGTTTAGAGCAGGCACAGTTTTAGGGTTTAGGGTTTAGGTTAGGTGAGTTTTGGAGGGAGTTGGTGCAAGCAGTCACCGATTTAGTGCAGAAAGTCACCGATATGGTGCAGCCAGTAATTATACGCCGCCAATGTGGGCCAATCCAATCCATGTGGCGGGGGCGACGAGCACGACGCATGTGTGGGTTGAGGCACATGTGTCGCTCTGGCACCAGTTGCATACAGTCTGCCTACTTTCTGCAGTACTTTCTGCGTTTGATAGTCCCCCGGAACCCACCGACAACTTTACCCAGAAGAAAATCCGTCCCGCCCCCTGACAACGACGCCCCAAACGGCAACATGTTCTGACGTTTTAGATGCATTTACATGAAAAAGAAAAACAAATGGCCTTGAGGAACTTTGAAGAACAGAATTCGTAACATCACAGCCTCGTACGTCCCACAACTAACCGAAACTCACCTTCTCCGGGCGGAGAGGGTGGGTGTGAAGCAACAGAGTGGGGGACGCGGGGAGGAGTGTAAATAATCGCCCCCACTCAGGGCCCCCAATGCCAGCCAAACATCTAGTGCGACGTACAACCGCCGGCCCTCTTTGAACCCATGGAGTTTAATTTACCCGAGGTACTGGGTGGTTAGAAATCGAAAGTTGGGGGCTGAAATGGCCACTCAAACTGAGCTGTCGATTCAAACCATCGGCTCTGCCCACCCAACGTTGCCCTCGGCAGGAACCCGTGAACAAAATAGTGCATTTCGTTTGTCCTCGCACAGTAACGACAGGAGGCAATCGACGTGGACATTCTGGGACACGCCTGACAATAGTCAACCCATTGAATCACCGCATGTCTGGTACATGCCTTTGATGGGTGCGGGCAGAAAGTAACTGCAGCATTTACAGTACGGGGTGCGGAATATTCCACACATTGTCACACTGCGATGTGTGCAGATTCTGATCCAGGTTGTTGTTCTTGTCGGGCAGCATAGGGCTGCATGCAGCAGGCAATTCTGATAGGCGGCCAACGTTTTAATGTTGATTTGCAAGCGGAACGCATCTGCGGGTCGGACCGGTGGACATACCCCCTCAATGGACAATTGCGTAGACCAATCTGATGAGATGGTCCTTGCAGCGAACAGTAGTTTTGCAGGCGGAACTCCAGCGTCAGGATTTGGTCCAGAGAGCGCAGGAAATCTGGGCAAAGAGAAGGCTTGACGATGGGAACAGTGCGTGAATCCTTCAAATGTCCAAGATTGTCTAATATGTGTGGAGTTTGTACATGGAAAGATGGCCAATGCTGTCCTGTGTTCCATGGTGGTGCGTCAGCCTAGCAGGGCGATCGCCCTGGGCAATTCTACGCAAAGGCATGCTTTCGACAGTCTTCATGAAGCGCGCTTGGCAGGGTTTTTTATGTTTGCGGCAATCGTGGCTTGCTCGGCCCCTCCCGCACAACGAATCGCGCTTTCGATGTGGACACCCCCCTGGCGAGGAGATCCAACCAGAGAAGCGGTGGTCGCTCATCGTGTGCCGCTGCGAACAGCAGTCAAATGGCATTTTGCATCATCGCGCCCCTGTCGCGTAACTTACGCAGATCTTAAAGAGATCTGAAGTCTCAACGTGGCTGCCGTGTCGCTCCGTGGAGTCTCAAAAATTTTGGGGGGCCCAGGGGCGGTCCCGCCTCTCCAAAATCAGCAGTGGCAGTACTGCCACTCACACTTTGACGTCTACCCGCTCTGGCGAATATTCGCATCCATTCCCCCCACAAAGATGTGCAGCCGTGACGTAAAACAAAGTGCCCAGCGCGTGGCGCCGTCGAACAAGCGCCGCTAAGTACTACGGCAAAACCAGTTCTGGAAGACCGGCGGAGGCGGTTTTGGCAGACTGCGGGCGCCTTTCCTGTCTCAACGGCGGATGTTCCCAATGGGTGTCTGTCTTCCGCACGTGACTGGACGCCGCACCCGCCCCCACGCTGCTGCCACATCGTGCCATCACGCGCCGTGGGTGCTGTCGCCCTCGAATATTCGCATACCCGCCTACATACGTGGCCACCCCATTGCGGCGGAAAATGGCGCACCGACTTGAGCCCGGGCGGCGGCGGTCGCCCTCGCAGCTTTGAGGCCAGCTCGCGCCGGCGGCCCTCCCTCGCGCGAGTTCCGGCACCCCCCCTGGGCATTCGCCGACCTGCGCGGGCACCCGCGGAGACGGCGCCGCGCGGCGGAAGCGCCCAAGGGAGGCCAATATGACCTCGCCGCAGGCATTGTACCCCCGGCTGGCGCCCGGCATGCGCCTATTGCAGCTCCTGCATGGCGGGCCCTTCGGATACTCATTCTATCAAATCACGGTGCGCAGCACGCGGGGTCCGCTCCGGCGGGGGCCGTTTTTACCTCCGGCGGCATTGAGCCGCGCCCACACAGCGACCCTGGCGCCCAGATTCATTCGTGGCGCCGCGGCTGGGCTCCAGTCCGGTGGCGCGGGGCTCCGGGATGCTTCGCAAGCGGCCGCTTCCGGCGTGGCGCCATTGACTGCATTCGAATTTGTGTGATCCATTGCCCAAGTCGTGATGTTGTGCGTGACAATTTAGCATGGCTGTGGCGCCCAGGCACTCGTCCTGACGTTCTTCGTCTACATGTCGTACCACGCGTCGCGGAGGCCCATAAGCATCGTCAAATCGTGAGTCCCGCCCGCCCAGGAGCGGCGCCGCTATTCCCCGGCCTTCCCCGCCCCAATCCGCAATGCCCGGGTGACGCGTGGCGCGGACGGACGCCACGTGACAGCGTGGCGATGGTGCGAATGGGCGCCGGCGAATCAGCGCGAAGGGCACGGAGTGGGGCGCTTTGGGGTTCCACAATCCAGCGTGGCGACTCCGCGGGCCAGGGTAGCTTGCGCAGCTCAGCAGATGGCTGCAGAGCTTAATTCGATTGCCGCCTCGTGTCCAGGGCGCTGAACCCCACGGGCGACAGCGGATGCTGCGGGGACGACTGCGACGTGTCGGGCGTGAAAGCCGTGCGGATGCTGGGCGAGTCGGTGGACGAGGGCTGGGCGCCTTTCGACGGAAAGTGCGGGGAGGTGAGCGGAGGGGCGCGCCTGGACGTCCGGCCGAGCCCGAAGGTCGTCAGCGGCGCCGACGGCGCGTGCCCTTCGGCGCCGGGAGCGGGGCCCATTCCAACGGGCGGCCGCGACGCCTTTCGCGCCTGGCTGTGCGCCAAGCGAGGTCACGGTCTCAAGCCCAGCAGCTCGCTGGCTGCGTCGCGGCCCGCCTGCCTGATGGGTGTGGTGAAGGGGGTGGGGGTGCAATTACTGGGCCCTGGGCCACCTTGGCGGTGCGTTCGCTGACGTGCTGCGTGGAACGTTTGCAGAGCAGGCTGGGATACCTGGACACCGCGTTCCTCATTGCGTACACTGTCGGCGTCTTCTCCTCTGGACACATCGGCGACAGGACGAATCTGAGGCATTTTCTGCTGTTCGGTAAGGACTGCTGATTGATGCAAGCAGCCTCTGAACAGTGGCACCCCAAGCGTATGAACTTGCCCACACGTTGCAGAATGACCTAAATATAGGTAAAGATGCAAGAATACTCAGAGATGAAGAGGTTCCCAATTCCGATAAGGACCTGTTGGGTGCTAGTTGCAGGTGAACAGGTTTTGGATATGGAAATGGTTTGCTCCTTATCCTCACACTTTGGAGTAATTGCTGAGCCCAGTTGAGGCTGAGTTGTGCTATTTTAACTGTTGGCAGGAATGATCGGCAGCGGTGTCATGATATCTTTTGTTGGCCTGGTGAGTTGTGCTATGGGTAGCCTCACCTCGCAACAGCTGCAATTTGCTGGCTCACACGTTTCCTGTAGCGGCAACAGGAAGATGTTGCTGAGCATTTTTGTTTGTTATGCTCACAGGCGTATTTCTGGGGGATCCACAGCTATGGCTATTTTCTGCTTTTTCAGGTGAGAACATGCGTTTCACAGTGAACTGCAGACACCATTTCTGATGCCATGCATCACAACTAACAATGAGTTTGTGGTACGAGTCTGTCCAGACGATTTCTGCACCAAATGTGTGTGACTTCTACTTTGGCTACCCTTCTGCCACACAGCAAACACAGTGTATGCAAGCACAAGCCGATAACTGGCTTTTAGGCATATTGCTCTTGAATAACTCAGATAGTTACTCCTTGTGTCCTGTGTGTTGGCCAGGCATACTGACATCTAACCTCTGTTGCTTCCTTCAGGCTTTGACAGGAATGTTTGAGGGCACAGGATGGCCTATCGTTGTGTCAGTGGTTGCACACTGGTTTGGAAAAGGCCGTCGCGGGCTCATCATGGGCATCTGGAATTCGCACACTTCAGTTGGAAACATGCTGGGCTCTTTCATGGCAGCGTCTGTTGTGGGTGCTGGCTGGGGGTATTCATTTATATTGTTGGCTGCTTTAATTTCAGGTATGTTGGATGACACCATGACTGGTGGCTCCTACAAATACAATTCTTCTCTGTTTCTTCTCTATTTTGGTCTATCCGTCTGCTGTTGACATTGGAAGAAAGCACGCCTCATGGCCACAGTGCTGCTGCTGGTATCCTATCTGCACTGAAAGACCTTTACGGCTTGTCATTAACTCACTTTGTATATTACTTTGCGGCCCCTTGACCACAGCCCTATTCATCACCAGTTTGGATGACTATTTTTAGCAAATAGTTGCAACATTGAGAGCTCCACGTGATGCTTGTGAGTTGTGAGTGGTACTGTTGTACCGTGACTTGCCACTCGGCAAAGTGGCCGCCTTGCCCCTCAAACCTAGTGAATTACATAGGCTGTGAACTCTGTACTCGTTAAGCCAAAGGCCATTGTCGTATGGCCCAGGTAGCTGCAAGAGTTGAAGGCTTGTGTAACTTGTCTTGCATTGCAAATTTGTAATGAATACTTGACACAAACACATTTGACGCCCAAAGTGTATTGTACTCAAATGCCTTCGAAAAAAGTGTTGCGAGTCCATGTTCTGCTCTGAATTATGGCGATATGGAGTCATCGAGTACGATGTCGCATGTTGTTCTTGGCAGGTGTTGGTGTGATAGTGTGGCTCTTTTTGGTTCCGTTGCCTGCTGAGGTGTGCTATGAGGCGCCAGACACTGTGGAACATGCTCCTGAAGGGACGCGACCTGATGAAGAAGCTCAGGCCAGTTATGAGCCCTTGCTCAATCAGGTAGGTTGCTGGTGTTTTTTTGATTTCATGCGTTGGAATAGCTCAAGCGCTGGAGCGCGTTCATCCAGGACCACAGGGAAGTGATTGACACTTCTTTGGCTCTTGCCCTTGTGCACACCCCAGGCTGCGCTGTCAACTCCAAAGGTACACCATGCACTTGTGACTGGTCCCGCGGACTATAAAACGCCAGCCTTTGTGTTGACTGCCTGCTGATTTCTCTGCAGGAGGCCACAGTGAAGCCTGCACAGGAGGGGATCAGCTTCTTTGATGCCTGGAAAATACCTGGCATCGTGGCCTATGCGTTTGCTCTTTTCTTCAGCAAGCTGGTAGCATACACTTTCCTGTTCTGGCTCCCCTTTTACCTCACGGAGGATGGTGCTGACGTGTCGCCAAAGCGAGCTGGCGACCTGAGCATCCTGTTTGACTTGGGGGGCATCTTTGGAGGCATCGCAGCAGGCCAGCTGTCTGACGTGACGGGTGCCAGTGCTTCAGTTGCCACAGGGTTCACACTCTTGGCGATGCCGGCAATACTAGGATACAAATATCTAGGTGAGATCTCTTTTGGTATTTTTTTGAATGAGCTTTTATTTCCCAGGTTGTGTGTTTCTGCAGTGTCCCCTACAATGCCATGTTCAGCACTTCTGGCTCGTCTAACATGCCATTATTTGCAATAGTCTGCCGACTTTTGGCCAACGCTTGCATTTGGGCTGACTTGGTCTTCTTGGTCTTGTTACACTGCAGGCAATGTTTCTGGGGGTTTTAGCAGCTTCCTCCTTGTTGTGACTGGGTTCTTTGTCAATGCACCATATGCCTTGATCACCACAGCAGTGTCTGCAGACCTGGGGACTCATGAGAGCATCGCCGGTGAGTGGGCATCTTCTCTCTAATTAGGTGGCCAATTTCTCTCTAGTTAGCTGGCCAACGTTCTGATACAGCAGAGACCTGATTGTGAGTTGATTGTACTGTTGGGATAGGCCACGGCTGTGGCACATAGCAACTGCCCTTACTTGCATGCTTGATCTGTTGACCTGTTTGCACACATTTGGTCCTGTTTGTAAGAGCTGTGTGTGCAGACGGAATGCATTGTGTGCTCTGGCATATGCAACTCTGGGTAGGTGGAACTGTTATCACCCTGATAGTAGGGGCGGGATCGTCACAACAAGGCGACCGTCTCGCATTCATCCACAGCAGCAAAATTGACAATCACAACCAAAGAAACATGTTGACTACCCTGCTTCTGCTGTTGCCAATTCCAGTCGATATGCTGTCACCCACTGAACTTACCAGTGTTTGTACGCCCATGATTGCCCAGGGAATCACAATGCGCTGTCAACCGTCACTGCGATTATTGATGGCATGGGGTCCTTGGGAGCCACTGCTGGGCCAATGCTGACAGGGCAGATTCTGGCCAGTGGTGGCACCACGACAGGGGCCTTCAACAAAATGTTCATGATGCTGAGTGGATCTTCCTTGATGGCAGGCATTCTGTTGTGTGGGCAAGTTTGGAAGGAGGTGAGTCATGGCGAGACTCTGTAGAAGGTTCATTGCTCGCTCATCAGCAAAGACATGCGACAGGACAGTGTATGCCAGGATCATTGTGGCAGACTCGATGAGGGGAAAACGTGACTGCCGCCTCCCAACCCACCTCCTACAAGAGCTATTGGAACCCTTCCATAAGGGAAGGCGCCATGTCGATTTTGTTACGCTTAGTCTCAAGTTGACGTTAAGCTCTCCCCCCCCCCCCCCTTTCTTTTCATAGCATGGAAGAGCCTCACATACACTTGCCTATGCGGGGGGTGCCCTTCGTATGACCTGTTTCCCTTTCTCTTTTGTAACAAATCTCCCCCCACCCCCACCCCCACCACCACCACCACCAAAGACACACACGCACACACGCCTCAGCGTCAATCCTTATGTCGAAGCCAGGATGACTCAGCAACATTACCTAACAGTGGAATACAATTTCTAGCTGGTTTTGAGAAGAAAAACCACCCAGAGTCGTACAAGTTTTGGTGGGCTGAAAACGGGGTTACAATTGTCATTATAGGCAAGGCGGGCAACCTCGATGCAGTAAATTGACGCATTCTAAGGACTTCCTTGAAGACTGAACATTTCAAGGAGGGTTAGGAATAAGTCACGAGTGTTTTGCTGCTGATGAGCAGCGCCGTGAGGCATCTTGCCACCTTGTGTCGTTTTTGTTGCAATTACAGAATCCCTTAGCGTCACAGGTCTCGACGCAAACTCGCCCACCACCCACCCACCAACTAACGTCAAATTGACGCTAAGCGTAACAAAATCGACATAGCGTCTTTCCTAACCTACAGAAGATGTTGTTTGAATGTTTAAGGTAGTTTTTGATCCATACTGAAAAATATGAGGAGCAGTACCTGGCACCTATCATATGATGGCTTGCTGGATTTTTTTTTTCTGTTTGTGTAATTGACTGCATGATATTCTCTTTTGTCCTTATGACGTACTGTGGGCATTGTGTACCCCCAAGGTCCTGAACCAGCTGAACACCACCTTTGTGACACAGCTTGTTCCATGCAGATTTTGATGGAGCCGAAGAATAGCTTTCTATTGACACATCACGAGCTGAGAACCTGACGTTGGTGTGCCTGTTTTTGTTTTTCAGTGCAAAACTCACTGGAAATGGCAAGAAGAAAAAACGGTTTCTAGAGAGGCTCTGGATGGGTTGAACGATTATTTGCCCTGAAGATATTTCCCTCCAGGGCGCTGAGTGGATGGCTGCTGCAGATGATTGTGAAGTTTGATGCAGAGCTTGAGTTTGGGTCTGAGTTCATGCACGTTATCCTATTGTTGCGGCTAGAAGAGCGTAGAGAGCTGGCACGGTGGGCGTGCTGGTATTTCCTGCCTTTCAGGTGTTTGCGGTTTCGATGTGGAGTAGGCGGCAGTTGCTCTGCTGCTGGGCGAGGACAACGCGATTGGAAGTTTGGGTTGGGGGATTCTTTCGCGCAGAGAACCCAGCTATGGTGGGTCTTAAACAGAGGGGCCGGCCTGGTGATCTGCGTCGTTGAGAGGATGAGGCACGTCGCGTGCATGTGGACATGGTGGGTAGGCGTCGATTGAAAGTCGTTGAAATTACCATCACAGCCGAGCAGTTGCCGATGTTCCAGGCAGCAGCGTTGTGCTTATTTTCGTGGTGTGGCTTCTGCAACTGCCATGTCTGGCAGTGGGGAATTCTAACCTGGCTGTGAGGTGCTGCCGTGGGCCAAAGATGGCAACGTTTGTACTTTATGTTCCCGACAGTTGACAAGAATGTGGGGTTTCGCCTTGGAGATTTCTGCACTATATTGGTATGCGGTTGTCTTTTTGAGTATGGGAAGAAGAGTCGCACATTCTTTGCTGAGCAGAACGAGGACAGCGGATGTTATGCCTCCGTGTGAACGAATCACGGACGAGAACAGCGTGTGTGGGCTGAGGCACTCAACCAGTGCCAGAAGGCGCCAACTGTTGTGCAGCATGGGGGTATGAACAGTCCTATCTGAACTGTTTGTGCCAAAATTCGATGCAGCTGTGTGCAGAGCTTTGGGACAATACATGCGAAGGTGGGACATCATCATCTGAAGTTGCTTGCGTTTCTGGCCAGGCCAATGGTTCATGTGTCAGCCATCACGCGCATCCTTGTCTTCCACGATATACTACTGTACTGATGTACTGAGGCGGCCAGGGGTGGTGCACATGCACTGATTAGATTGCAAACAGGTGCCTGGCCAGCACCCAATGCACCGTCTATTCATTGTCGAAGGCCATACTTCGGGGATGAGAACTTTCGGTTCACTTGCATTGTCGCCATGCTAATGGCAGCGCGATATCGAGTGTCACTTGAGCAGCAATGCTGCACGAGGCCAGTGATGTACGCAGGCTGAAGTCATGGCCACAGGTGTCTAGAATTTACGTGAGGAGAAGCAACTTGCAACAGCAGCTTGAAAGACGCCTAGGAGGCCTCATAGACAGCCTGCATACTAATTACACGCCAACCTGTGCTGTGGGTATACTGATGACGTATCGCCAATGCAACTTGTAGGCCACCAGCCCTACATGCTGGTAGGCGTCTGGGAGAGTCCTGTGGTATGCCGCCTATCGTGACTTCCTTGGCATCCCTCTGGCCGTGGATGTCCCTCGAGGAATGGACGGCGTGGGCAGGCGCACAATCTTCTGCAAGTCGCTTCTGCTCAACTCCCTGCATCACATCACAAGGGCAATCAAAGATGCCCTGCCTTGGTTCATTTTGCACGCCTTGGCCTGCACACCCAAACTAGTTCATATAATTAACTATCCTGTTAATGAGTTTCTGCCTAGGACGACGATGGGTGGGCGCGGATCGGCCAGTCTGGGCCGTTCCGTGACTTTGGCCAGTTTGGGGGCCATCACTAGGCTGGTTTCTGTCACCCCTGTACTCAGGGTCAGTTCTGCCCGGCGGATCCAAGGGCAGTTGGGTTGAGCCTTGTACCTTGGACGCAGCCAAGGGGACCGGTCAAGCTGGCCCTTGGGTTTGGCGGGGAGTTTGGCGGCAAGTGGGAGCGGCTATTTAGGCGCGACCCTTGGCGCCCCCCTTTTATCTTGTTTCGCTTCGCGCCAACCTTGGCACAACCCGGAACCACCGAGTGGTTCGACTCTCCGGCCTCCGCGCCGAGTCCTTCCTGTATGAACCCCAGCCCTGCCGAACAGTGGCTGCGGGCCCAGGCGCTTCGTTTCAACCAGCGCCTCCCTGACCGACCCATAGAGCTCACGTGGGTTTCCGACCCCCGCTTACTCCCGCGGTCAGTCAACAACCGCGTCGCCAGGCCTGACTTCACGTCCTTCCCGGTTAGCTGTGGGATGGAGAGGGAGTTGAGTACGAGGAAAGGGGAGCTGATTCTGGGTTGAGTCACCATCAGAGTGGCATTGAGTACTATGCGAAGCGAGGGCACGTTCAAGTGGGTCGCCTATCGGGTCTTGTTTTAGTAAGGTGAAGGACACCAAACTGTGTGCATGTAATGTATTGTCGTGTGGGGAACACGGGGGGGGTTGAAGGAGACCGGTAAGGCAGAAACGACATCTGGGACAGTTGGCACGAGTTCAATGCTGGCTGCATTTCATTCTCCACAGCAAACTCCCACCATTCGGGCCACGAATGGGCTGACCACATGCGCGGGGAAGTTCCGCTTATACTTGGTCAGTAGGCTCAGCCGTTCTGCCAAACGCAGCCTCCCCTTGCCGCCAGCCCACAAAAACAACAGCAAGAGCCATCCAATCACCTGATCTGCCCGATTTTGAGGTCGGCCGGCAGCCGGTACTGGCCAATACGAACGCGCTTCAAAGCTTCCACCTCCAGTCCGCAGTGTTCGACGAGCACCCTCACTTCTCGCTTGCGGCCGTCGGACACCGCGACCCGCATGCTCCTGTCGCCTTCCAGCTGCACTGCCACTGGGGACACGTGCCGCCCTTCCACCATGCAGCCTTCAACCACTGTCTTCACTTGCTGGTTCGTGGGCTTGCTGTTGACACGCACGAAGTACTCCTGCAGCACTCACACGCGGCGTCATCTTCTTTCTTTTCGATTCTATCGGGTTCCCATTGTTGCATCTGGTGAGATGAACAGAGCTAGCCACAATTGTGGAATGAAGTTCGATGTTGCGGACGCATTGGAGGTCTGCAGGAACAGGACAGAGGCACAAGGCTCCGCACCATCTGATGAACAGCAGCAATGCATACATGTGTGAATGGCCATTGTGGCACAGCAACCAAGCCTGAGGGATGCACATCAAGACCTTGCGGTGCCACAGTTTGTCAGCAATGCTAGGACTGAGTTTAGTCCATGCAAGGTCTCATCTGAAATATTGCTGCAGCCTTCAGTTGCTTGTGCCGCTGTACTGAGGCAGTTGTACACCGAATTTCTGTGTGCTGGACATAATGAGTCCGTGCAATACGGCAATGCTCCCATAAGCAACCGTCAGCATGAGAATGGAGCCACCTGTTCACCTGATGCACGAGGTTGGCTAGATCCACCAACAGCTCAAACAAGGCAATTTGTCAAGGCACATCAACCTGAACTAGTCTGGAATACAATCGCTACTTCGAGCAGTTGGCGGGTCCCATAGCTGCCCCTTCAGATGCTGTTACCAGGAGCAAGTCCATTCACAGATGCACCATCCTGCAGCACATGACCCAGAACCATGAGCAAGTTTGTCGCCAAGTTATCTCCCACCTTTGTGATATTGGCTGATGGATGTGCCACCTTTTGGGCCCACTGTCCTGCAGTGCAAGGCCACCAAAAAATGCGTAAGTGCATAAGCGGTTGGGCATCTAGCAAGTGTAACATGCCCTGGGCACCTGACTGGCCAGTATCTGGGATGAACCGGATCAATGACCCTGCAAGCCTGTCAGGTGATGCACCACTTCAGCATCTCAACTTTGCTGGCCGTTTCCTCGAGCATCAAACTTCCACCCTGGGATGTACCTGGAGTACACCATGCTATCAGGTGCATCTACAATCCTCTGGCAAAAGATAAAGATCCATCCAGTATACTCCAAGGATACAGACCTTCCCGTGACGTCACACATTCACTGCCTCCTTTCAGGGGCATATTGACCATATAGGCAATGCTGTGGCCCTGAAAAGCTCCACGTCAACTACTTACAGACGCAATTGTGGCACTGGGTCACTCTGGATCACCTGAGGGATAACAAAAGGCTCCAAGGCAGTAAGATGGTGCATCTGCAACTGCCCCTGGCGCTCAATAACCCATCATCACTCTGGGCTGGAAATTCCGTAGGGAAAGGGAATTCCAGTGGACTGGATGATTAGAAGTCCAGGCCGTCTCTCACCGTCGTTAGTAACAAGGAGCAGCCCGTAAGAATTGGCGTCCAGCCTTCCAACTGTGAAGAGCCTGGGTGGAACTTTGCCCTGCGGTGAGATGATGATTTTCACAACCACAGCAGTCATCTCAAATGCACTGTAAAATGTCCGAACAGCTGAAACACACAGCTGCACTAAGAGATTTCAGAATGCACCACACCATGTTTGTCACCAAGAGGCACTCGAATATCGACAGCTCTGCTGAAAACGTCAATATTAAGGGAAACACCAAAACCTCACCTGAGGATTGGACCTTTTCCATCCACTTATCCAGTTTTCAAACAGGTCCAACACGAGCTTCTTGTTCTCTCCCTCTTTGTAGGATGGTTTTGCGCTGCACAAGAATCCCTTGGGCTTGTTAACTACATCAGACAGGTGACAAGGGACATTTTGAGCACATTGGCCTTGAGGCAATCTGAAAACTGCAGTCTTTGGCGGTGTGCATCAAAGGCAATACAAACCTGCAAAATAGTATTTCTCCTGATTTGCTGTGTCTACTCTTCGGCCATCCACTTCAATCTTTTGCCACACACAGCAGACAATGACCCAATGAGAATTGAGCCTTCAAGCCTGGATGCCCAATATAAGATGGACAATCCAGGAATGCAATCTTTTGCCACACACAGCAGACAATGACCCAATGAGAATTGAGCCTTCAAGCCTGGATGCCCAATATAAGATGGACAATCCAGGAATGCAAGCCCACTAGAAAGTGCCATGAATGTTATGCACCGCGCATGCAAGTTTGGTTGCTGGGGTTGTAGCTATGTTTCCATTCAATAATCTGCCAAATTGGAAACCACACAGTGTTCGACAGTGACTTCAGCACATGCAATGTCCTTCTGAAATGCACCGTGCCAAAGAAAGCGGCCAGATCACACCTTGCAAGTGTCCACTTCAGGGTTCTTGCTTAGCTGCTATCCCTAATGCGCCCCAAATGCCTTTCACTGCAGCAGTCTGCAGATGGCCACTGCAGTGCGGTGCTGCCCTGGTTCGCAGTGCGAGGCAACCAACGAAAAGCGTACAACCATTTCCGGTTGGCGCACTCTGAAGCAAACTGTCTGCAGGAACAGTGACTGGCTCCAACCGAGTTGGGAGCGCTGTGCATTGAGACGACATACTGCTTACCACATCCTTCGAAGCATCCACTCTCGTCTGCGGCGTGGTCACCACCACGCCGTTCACGGTCACCTGGCTCGAAAATATGATCTCCTCCGCCTTGCGCCTCGCGGCCACGCCGGCCGCTGCCAGCACCTGGAGCCGACCTTACCATCACCCGTCGCAAGTCACTGGCCATTGCCGCCCATCGCCCATCCATCAAGGCATCTTGCGACTGCAGCCGACATTCCACACACGACCGCCACTGTCGCGCGTCAGAAATTCCGTGACAAGCTTGCCTTGCTCAGTCGCTGGGGCCCTTCCGCCGGCGAGGCGCGCCCTCCCGCGCGCTCGGTGTCTCGCCTCCGGGCCCTCTGCGCTCCCCTGCTGCACGCCCGCACCCTCAGCCCCCGCCACCGCGCCCCTCCGCACGGTCCCACGCTCCCCAGCCGCCAGCGGGTGAGCAGGGGCTCCATCGCAGGCCAGCAGCCGGCTGCTCGGCCACTTGCTCCTCCTTTACCGGTGCTTGGCAACGTTGCAATGGCAATGTCCTCGAGGTGGCAGCATTCATCGCATTCCGTTGCCAATGCCGGTACAGTGATTCTTGGCGGTTTCGTTTTGCATGAACGTGCACGGATTGCAGGCCAAGGTTCCCGGGACGCGTTCCCTGCGGCCAGGCCGCGGCGCGACCGCGGTGCCAGGCCGGCATGTCGGGCAGAGGGCGAGGGCGCAGGGGCGGCGGTGGCGGCGGGTGCCGAGGAGGAAGGGGCCGGGGCCAGGTGGGGCTGGGGAGATGGACGCCGTGATGGACGATCGCGCGCCCAGGGGGCTCTGACCGCCCGGGCAGCGGCGATCGCTCGGATGCCGCGTCGCCCCCGCGGCGTGGTCTCGGCGGCGCTGCGGACTGCGCGCGGGCCCGCCAGGTTCGGTGCTGTTTTGCAGCGGCGTGGATCACGCGTCCATGGGTCTTAGATTTTGGAACGCTGTCGTGGTGTCGCTCGCCCGTGGTGGTCTTGTGCCGTTGGGCTTTTCTTCAAGCCGCGACGCGCGACGCACTGTGCGGGCGTGGGTCCGTCTGGGCGCTTGTCCGTCGTGTTCTGCTGTGCCGACGATCGGTGTGGATTGCCGCTTAGCCGCAGTGGGGAAATCCGGAATGGAGGGCAGCGAAGCTCGCGGAGATAAGGAGGAACCGACCACCTGTGGATCCCTCGTGGGACAGAGAGGATATGATGTCCAAGCTCCGTTATTTTATGAGCACCAACCAGCAAGAGATGCTGCTTGGCAACTACCGGAGGGGGGACGCCGAGGCGCTGGCTCTACCAGTTCGCCACTACCATGGCGTGGTGCGTTGCAACAAGTTTGTTCGACGGTGCGCCTGGTTACCACCGTTGGGCGCGACACAACACTAGTACACAGTACACAGTACAACACTATAGCGGCCAGTATGTTCTACGTCGGGTGTATTACTTTTCCCCGTGTACACCTACGTGGCACACGAGAGCCATATATATACGTTCATCCATGTGTTCGCTACCCCCTCCCCACCCACCCTCCCACCACCAAATTTCCCCATCACTCAACTGAACCGGTATCCCGTCAACCATGCGCCCATCTGGACGCTTACAGGGATCTGTCCAAGACCGTCTGCTGTTGTTCCCCCGAACCACCGTTTATTCAACGCACAACTGTTCGGCCACCTATGTTTTGAATATTAGTTGGTTTATTAGGTCGGACACCCGAAAATGAGTCCTCACATGCGCGGAGAGTGCCCCCCCCCCCTTCCTTAGTGTCAATTCTTATTTCGCCGCCAGGATGATGTAGCAACGCTGCTTAACAATGCGATACAGCTTCAATAGTATCAAGGGAAAAACAGCCAAAGTTGTAGCGATTGCAGTGATTTAAAAGCATGTGATGCCAAAGGCCATGGTAGGCAATGGGAGCAGCTCAAAAGCCTGAAAATTGATAAATTCCAAGGACGTCCTCGAAGGTTGAAAGTTTGAGGGAGGTTTTGCAATAAGCTATCTGCCGCTGATCAGTGGCGCTTTTGCGCATCTTGGTAACTTATTGTGATTTCAGTGAAATCGCATAATCTCTTAGCATCATTGGCTGCGCGCTCGTCAATTTGATGCTAAGCGTGCGAAATTCAAAATAACGTATTCGCTTAGTAACCCCAAAAATTTTGCCCAAACCCCCAGTGCTGTGACTTACACGCCACAAGCTCCACGCCCCCAACCACCGGACCACCACAGCTAATAAATTTTTGATGTCGGGCCATAGCCACTCCCCCTACGCAACACTGTGCGGCACTCACCCCCAAAACGACACCTTGACACCAGGACGCAATGTATTGGCATGTGGCTTGACACACGTTGGTACTTAAGACTTTCCCGAACCACACAGTCCGAAAACCCCCCTCCTCATCCCCGCCTCTCCCCGCAGCCTGGGGGGTACCTGAGGTACCCCCCGTCCTACAATAAGCAGTTTTGGCTGATGGAGTCAACCGTAGGCGACACAGACAACACTGTGAATTGTGTGTACATCTTTGATTACACAATTACATGTGGCCTGTCTGTTAACGTACATGAGGGTCTTTTCTTGCGAGCTAAACTTTCCTTCTCACTCTTCCCCTTTGTCCTCCTGCCCACACCTTCCGAAATCGCATTCCGTTGGTAATGCCCGTGCTGCGATTTCCCCGCGGTTGCTCTTTTCATGAACTTGTATGGATTCCTTGCCAAGGTTCACTGGCCGCACCCAGGCCCGTGGTGCCGCCCGCGGCGCAGCTTTTCGGCCGCGGAGCGACCGCGGCGACAGGCTAGCATGTCGGGCAGGGGGCGAGGGCGCAGGGGCGGCGGCGGCAGCGGCGGCGGCGGGAGGGGGCACCGAGGAGGCAGGGGCCGGGGGCAGGTGGGGGCTGGGGACATGGCTACGGCCATGAGCGATCGTGTGCCCGAGGAGCTCTGGCCGCCCGAGGCGCGGTGATCGCGCAGATGCCGCGTCGCCTCCGCGGCGCGGTCTCGACGGCGTTGCGGACCACGCGCGGGCCCGCCGGGTCCGTTGCTGTTTTGCAGCGGCGTGGATCACGCGTCCATGGGTCTTAGATTTTGGAACGCTGTCGTGGCGTCGCTCGCCCGTGGTGGTCTTGTGCCGTTGGGCTTTCTTCAAGCTGCGACGCGCGTCGCACTGTGCGGGCGTGGGTCCGTCTGGGCGCTTGTCCGTCTTGGTCTGCTGTGCCGACGATCGGTGTGGATTGCCACTTAGCCGCAATGGGGAAATCCGGAATGGAGGGCAGCGAAGCTCGCGGAGATAAGGAGGAACCGACCGCCTGTGGATCCCTCGTGGGACAGAGAGGATATGATGTCCAAGCTCCGTTATTTCATGAGCAGCAACCAGCAAGAGATGCTGCTTGGCAACTACCGAAGGGGGGACGCCGAAGGGTTGTTGGCCCTTGCAAAAGAACAGGGCGTGCCCTACAGGTGTGCCTTTGTTTGATTCATGGGTGCTCCAAGCTATTCAGCAACGAAACGGGGTGCATTTTGACCTCGTGCGAGGGGGGACGATTGGGTTATTTCAAAGGCAAAATCAAACAAAGCAGTCAAGTGACGAGTTCAGCTCCATGATTGCCGCTGGTACTTGTCAGTTTAACTTTGGCTCGATTGGCGCAATTGGCAATTACTGTTGTGGCAATCCAGCCAGACCCATATGACCTGCAGAGACAAGGCCCAGTTTAGCCAGAGACGTTTGCGGACAACAAGTTTTCAGCCCAAAGCTTTGCAGCGACTGTGCCAAGCACTGGATGTTTCCAAGAACCTATGTTCAAGGTATCGTGTCTCACTGTTGGCAGCAAGAATTATGCCAAAGGGAGGGTGGTCATCAGCAAGGTGCCCCTTCCTGACTACCGGGCGGATTTGGATGAGCAAGTTCAGAATAGGGTCTACAGGATTGCGATGACAGAGGGTTCACGGAGACTTATGCGTGAATTTCAGCTGAAGAGGCCTCAGGAATACGGAGAAGCGATGCAACATGAGCGAATGCCAAAACGTGAGCAATGTGGGAATTGGTGTCCTGATACACAAGAGATTGGGGGCATAGGGTTTTGAGGCACGGAGGCTGCAGTATTGTGTGGGTGGGTGGGTGGGTGGGTGGGTGTCAAGTGGAAGTGCTAAGCATCGATACCAACGATATCATCAGCTAGCGACAGTTGACTTACATTGCACTTTGGTGGCACAAGCAGGGTGACAATGCTGTCTCACCCTACCCGAATTAGTTTGATGTGTTGTTTGAACTCTGTCGATTTGCAGGTCAAAGGGGTCCTGGAGGCAGCTCAAGCAGTCACAACAACAACATTGGTACGCCAAGGCTGCAACATTTATTGTGGAATAGCCCCTGCTGCTGTCCTCCCTTGTTGCAAGTGGAAAAGTCCTGTAGTATATTATACAGGCTTGGTTTGGGTGAACCTTGTGTTGGGGTTGCCTTGGGCTTGTCTGGATTGCAGATGCTTTCTTAGAACAGACCTCATCGACAGCAGTATTTTTTGTGTTGTTTGTGCCGTGCATTGGTTTTACGTGCCCATGGGTTGATGATCTGCAAAGTCGAAGTACAGTTCAGTGGTTCGTCGTATTTGAATGGCTGTACTGCACGAGGATCTATGCCAGCATTCGCTGTCTGCGCCTTTTTGCAGTGCTTTTTGAAGACCACGAGGACAGTGAGGCCGCAATTGCGGAGAGTTTGAGGTTGATGGAGCAACAACGAAAAGCACTAGGACAGCCTCAGGTGCAGAGTATGATGGAATTCCGCCAAAAACTTCCTGCATTTTCGATGAGGCAGCAGATGGTGGAGGCCATCAGCACAAACAGGGTACGTTCAACTCCTCCCCTCCCCCCACCCATCCACCCCACCCCAGGGGCAACATGGCTCGATGTGGTGGTAGCATGGCAGACACACCACCCAAG